CCAGAAGTTCGGGAAGGTGGGAAATGGGCCCGTTTCTGGCTTCCAGAGAGCATCCGGAACCTGAGGAGGCCGTTTTCACCCTCCTGGAGGCTCGAGGAAAGCCTTTGGAGCCCAGGGAGGGCCAAAACACCCCCCCCCCCACACTCTGGTGCAGGAGGCCAACTAGGCCATATCACCATGGCCATGCTCATCCAGCAATCAGGCAAAAATTGCTAAAAATTTTAATGCCCTCCCCTGAACAAACCAATATCACCTTCTTCTCTTGTAGAAGCAGAAAGGAACTTTCCAGCACTTTTCCAGCATCCAGCTTCATTATCCAAGCTTTGCTCATTTCATCTATCCTGGGAAAATTCAGCACAGACCCATTCTTCTTGTGAATCATTATTTGGGTGAGACCTGCAGGCTCTTACAAGTATCTGAAGTGATCTAATGATCTCTGGCAAGAAATACAGGAGATGATCTTGTTGTTTAGCTTTGATGTAATTTTCTAGAACATTATTCTATCACATTCTCTCCCTTGTACGCATACCTTTGGCATTGCCTTTTGCAGAGGTAAGATGGGGTGAGCACCTGACAATATAATAATGTATTTCACGAACAGATGAGCAGGAAACAGGTTGGGACTTTTCTCCTTATCATAATACATTGAAAAATTCTTAGGGCCAGAGAGAAAGAAGAGATCAGTAGGCACCTGAGAACAAGGATAGCTTCCAGATTACAAGCCCTGGAGGCAAAAGCTGAAGAAACTTCAAACACGGTTATTGTAAAATATAGTTAGGAGGCATCATTATAATTGAAGTTTTCCAATCATTTTACGTCTTCCTCTCTTTGAAGAAATCTTTGCTGCTAAACATATTGGAAAGAGTTGTGTGAATTCTTGGAGTTTGAAAAATAAAACATGGCATATGAGGAGCGGAGGGACATTTCAGCCACATTTCATAAGCGAGACATTGGTTGATCCATTAGGGAGGTTGTGAGAAAGAAAACTTGTCAACTCCTAGGGACCTTAATATATTTAATAATTCATTAAGACAAGCATGCTTACCTAGTTTGCAAGATTCTGGAATCTTAACTCTTTTTCCCTGACGCTAAACCTGATGAATGAGCCTCTTTAGCACAAATTTGGCAACTTTAAGACTTGTGGGTTAACTCCCGAAATTCCTCAACCAGCCATGTTGACTGCAGAATTCTGGGAGCTGAAGTCCACAAGTCTTTAAGTTGCCAAGTTTGGAGACCCATACTCTATAGGGATCTTGCCCTTGGTCATGGGCTGCTATCAATCAATACTGCATTTTTAAAATACATAATTTCCACAAGTAAAACATAACTTTGCCACCAATTTATCATACCAATTTACAGAACGTTTCTTACAAAGTAGGCTATATAGCTGGCAATTATTTTCACGCATGCTCCTGGTCTATAATAGGAATTATGAGATTCCAGGGTTATGGTCTCTCCCATTTTTTGGTGACATCCAGAGACCACTCCATCTGCAATCACCAAAAATCAGTAGTAGCTTTTTGAGGTGAGAAGCTCACAAAAAGTTTGGGGGGGGAAATAGACTTTTAAAAAAATATTTGAAATACATCAACTTTCTTTTTTCATTTTGAAGGTCTTCATTATGAAGACCTGAAGTTCAACAGCATCTGGAGGAGGCAGGTATCCTCCAGTGATACCAGCGAAACCTTCTGTATAATGAAAACAATTCAGTTCTATTCCTTCATATCTGTTTCTTGCACGTGTAAAGTTTTTATCACTGCCACTGGAAAATTATTGCATTTGGCAATGTAATTTTAATTCCTTTAAAACTTAGCAGATAAAAAATCCCACAGTTATTTTGCAAATTTGCAAGCAAACAGGATATCCTCAATGGGTCACAGTATAAATCAGGAGTATCAAACTCAAGGCCCGGGGGCTGGATCCAGCCAGCAGGGTGCTTAGATCCGGCCCATGGGGCCACCCTGGAAACAGCAAAGGACTGGCCTCCAGTTTATCTGCCAGCAAAAACAGAGCTCGGGGGGGGGGGTCGCATGTGGCCCTCCCAAGCTCTGTTTTAGCTGGCAGAGGGTTGCAGGAGGACGTCACAGCCGAAAACGGAGATTGGGAGCTTGTTTTCACTGGCAGAGTACTCAGGACGCCTCAGGCGCCTTAACAAGAGTGATGTTGAGCTGGCCATGGCCACCCTGGCCCTGAGGTCAAATACAAGCCTGATGTGGCCCTCCATGAAATTGAGTTTGACACCCCTGGTGTAAATTAAACTTCGGCATTAGACTATCTTACATATCTCCACAACTGTTTTTCTAATATGTGGAGAGAGAAAAGAAGTTCTTTTGCCTTCAATCAGGTGCAATTTGGCTTGAAGTGTTGTCACTTTTGGCTTGAAGTAAATTGAATTTTTGTAATAAATTGATAAATTAGTCACCAGGCCTTTTGGGAGAAAAAAAAAATCAGAAGCACTTTCAGACCTCTCTAGTGTCTAGTGTAAAAACACTGAATTGCTGTTTTCCTAGAATTCTTTTCATTACAAAATGGGGCTATTATTTGCTGCCTAAAGCAAATAACTCTAAAGGAAGCCTCAGTCTGGATGCTCTGTTGCCAAGACACTTCATCAGAAATGCTGGTGTGTGTGTGTGTGTGTGTGTGTGTGTGTGTGTGTGTGTGTGTGCACACGCCCATGAATGAATCCTTGGATTTCTTGCTTTCTGGCTAATCTAAAAGCAGAGCCAAACCTTCCTTAGGGTTGAAGCTTTTCAGTGCAGACTCAGGTAGCCGATTGCAGATAGATAGATCTCTAAATTAATCTGTGATTCCGTGAGCAACTCAATCTGCCTGCCTGCTTTGCCTACTTTTGGGTAAAAGTTGCTCTTTTTTTAAATAAAAAATTCAATATTTACATACATGATATGTTGTGAGTTAATTTTGTGAGTTTGCTTGCAAGCAAATTTTATGTGACAAACTCAGATAGCCGACTGCAGATAAACAGATCTCTAAGTGAATCTGTGATTATGTGAGCAACTCAATCTGCCTGCCTGCTTGCCTGCTTTTGGGTAAAAGTTGCTCTTTTTTTATAAAAAAAAAAATCAATATGTACATAAATATTTATATTTACATACAAGCATGTCCACCCAGTCACAACCACCAAGCCATGCGCAGTCAGCAAGCCATGCCCACCCAGTCACATGACCAAGCCACACCCACAAATTAGGCCACACCCACAGAACCGATTGTTAAGAAATTTGAATCCCACCCCTAACCTATACTATTTTAGATAAGTGACTGTCTAGACCAGATATTTCAGACTCGCAGCCCATGTGCTGGATGAGTCATGTGCTGGCCACACCCATGTCTGGTTTAGCAAAGGGGGGAAAAGTCACAATACATAACATGATGCCACCATGATGACGATGCGAGTTTGACACCCCTGGTCTAGACTTTTCTTAAAAACATCCAGTAATGGAGCGCCCATGATTTCTGGAGGAAAGGTGTTCCACTGGTTAATTGACCTCACTGTTAGAAAGTTTCTCCTTAATTCCATGTTGCTTCTCTCTTTCAATAGTTTCTAACCATTGTTTCTTCTCCTGCCCTCTGGTGCTTTGGAGAATAATTTGACCCCCTATCCTTTGTGGCAGCCCCTTAACTACTGGCATACTGCTATCATGTCACCCCTAATTCTTCTTTTTCTCTAGACTAGCCCAACCCAAATCCTGCAGCCATTCTTCATAAGAGGGACAAGAAGTACAACAATTGCACAACACAGTGGAATATGTGTGAGTGAGGTCAGGAAGGGCTTTTGATGGGAAAATGTTCAATCAGTTTTGTAGGAAAAAAATATTGGCAATATTTTTAAATATGTTTCCAGATCTTTGGTGCAAATTGTCTATGTAGGCACCAATCATGTAATAGTAGTGTTTACACATGATGGGCAATGGCTGGACCACCATATAAGTCTAGTAAAATAACTTTGGCAAGTCGGTTGCCAGTTAACACTGGTAATACTGAGCCACCTGGGCCAATGGTTTAACTACCCTGTAAAAGTCAGCCCACGTGCTGAAGAGAAAATACATACATCTTTCTATCTCTGAGCCACTTTTATATTGTATTTCCACCTTTATTGCTAGTTTCGTTCTCTCCCTCCCCCCCCTTTTTTTAAAGGGCACAGTCTGAAAAAAACTGGCAACTGTACCAGATATTGAGACAATGAGATTACAGATCATTTGGAACATGTACATGGAGTTCTAAATTTGGGGATTGCTGTTCATTTTGCTATGGAAGCTTCTATACAACAAGGTCATAAACTAAACTTTCAGAGCAGGGAAAATGTTGAAAATAAAGTGCTCCTTGTTCAGCATTTTAACTGCAATATGCTCTCTCTCTCTCTCTCTCTCCCTCTCTCCTTCCCTCCCTCCCTCTCCCTCTCCCTCTCTCTCTATGTGTACTCTCACACATGTACCTTCATCAGGTTAGATGCATCTTTCTGTCAAAGCCTCACATTAAAGGTTTCCCATGGAACAGATTAATTTCCTATGATAGCTGATCACTAAGGTTGTTTGTGAAAATAGTTCAGGATTCTGAATATCATAATATGACATTCATTTGCTTTCCCAAAGATAACCATAGATTAGATTTGTTACTTTGGCCTAATTCTTAACAAGCTATGAGGCAAATGTTAATGGGTTATCAAAGAAGCGTTGTTCTTACAATACAGATATTGTTTTTATACTGTGGACTTCAGCAATGATCAACATGCAGAGAGAAATACAGTTCAATGTTTCAGGTGATTGATTTTCCATGACAACAAAACCTCTGAAATCTGGAAGTTTTCCAGCAATAATACACAGACTCTGTATAGATTTTCAGTAGTTTTATTGAAAAATGCCTCTTTTGTTTCAGAAATAAATAATATAAGGCAGTGAAATTCACAATTTGCAGTTAAAATATAAAAGCAGCAATTCTATATCCATAGTCTTGCAAACAATTTCCAACTGCTATTTTTCTGATAACTATGAAACATTATATTCTGGAGAGAAGGGGAATCATAACTAAATATACAACACAAACATGCAATTCCATCTCTGCAGGATTGACTGCAATTTGGCATAAATGTTAAGGTCTCTAAAACAAGGAAAATTAAGCCATTACTTCTTTTAAAATTGTATCCAGTTGATACAAGGATGCCAGCTTATTATTATTTAAAAGTTTGTGATTGTTAAAAGAGACGCATAAAAGCTGTATAATGCCCTGCAAGATATATGCAAAAGTAGAAGAAATTGCTTATGTGGAAAGAGAAATTTCTTCTTTTATTAGGCGTTGTAAATTGGTAACAGTGACTGAATTACCCAGCAAGTGATTTGACAAGGAAGAAAATTATAAGGCCAAGCCCTTTAGTTGCTGAGCTATACAGCCTCTAGATTACTTGAAGTAGCTGTGAAGAAGGTGGGATTTTTTTATGGTTGTTATATTTTTAATTTATTAAAAGAACCATAGCCTTGCAATCATTTTGATGCACTTGTTAAGGTTTAATGCAGCCACCTGAAGCATAGGTATATTACAGGCATTCCAAGAGAGAGAGAATGAAATGTGTAGAACCTCTATTGCTATTCCCACATACGCCAGATATTCTCAGAAGATTAAGTTGTACTTCTGCTTGGAAACACGGTAGGAGGAATATCATATCTACATATGAGAGAATGGCAACAACAAAAACAAATACCCAAAGGGAGAGGGGTGGGTGGGGAGAGAGAGAAGTGAGAAAATAAGACATTTATGGTTTTGTTTTTGCTTTTCTTGATAAGGAACGTTTCCAGCGCATGTGTTCAGGGAACCCAGGTGAATGCATATCAGATCCATAGTCCTCATAGTCCTCAGCTCTTCTTTCAGGTTCCACTGGTACTATGTAGGCCTCACTGTCAGGCTGATATGGTCCACTGTCAGGTACATAGGACTCTGGTTGAAAATAGTTGTCCAATGGAACATTAAAGTTATTATCACACATCTTTGATTCAAGAGGGGAATTCTTTTTCTTAGTTTAAAAGCAGGCTATTAGGTTATTGTTTTGTTTTAGTAAATCTGGGATGGTTTGTCTTTTTTTCTTTTAGTCAATTCTCGGGGCTTTTATTTGGAAATGATTTCATAAAACAAACAAATCATCCTAAAATCAACAATTTATGTAGAAATTCTGCTACGCATATGGGTCTCAACAAGGGGAGTTGTGACTGAGGCAACTGCCCTTGCCTTTGACATGAATGCTGGAGCTTCTTATGTGTGTCCAGAAAAAACAGGTAGCCAGGGGGAAGCACCATGTTTTGTCTGTTGAATAATTTTTTTCTGCTCCCTTTCAAAATCTTTTTGTATGGCAAACTAGCATAAGAAAATTTAAACAGAAATAGCAACATCCATATCTAAAATATTGAAAACTGAAGTTCTGTGCAAGAATTAAGTCCCTAACATTGATTTTGCACACAATAATTATTCAAAAATAATTTCAATTTGGGAGAGGAAAAAAATATAAAACAGAAAGAATATTGGTACAACTTAAGGAATGAAATGCTCAAAATAAAATGATTTTGAGGTTCAGGATATATTTTTTTAAAGTAAGTATTAAAATTACAAACTTGCTAAAGTCAAGCCTGGAGTAATTTGAGGTAATTTCCAGTGAAAACAGTCGAGATTTATGTTAGTCACAATTAGTTGTAACTTACTATATTTATTTCACTGGGACACAACTAAATTTAGTAGGCTTAGTGTATATTTAAGTAATCTTTAGGAATTTCACTTAAGTGAAAGCCAATTATTAAAATAAATGCTTTGTTCAAAAGGGAAAACTTCATGTATGCAGCATTGTTTTATTCAAAATATTTTCCTACGGGGGTGGCAGAAATTTACACCAAGTTGTCACCATTGACAATATTCAGTAACTACTATTTTCTGACAAATGTGCCTCATATCCGACTGAACCAGAGCTAGTGCTAGAGGAACATCAAAAATTTCAGGAAAATCAAAATCAAAATTAATTATATTTTTAGCACTTGTAAGAAGATTACATATACAAAAGAAAACCCCTCAAGACCTGAATAAGGTAAGATGGAGACAAGAATAACAAAGAATAGAGAAAGACTTCAAGAGTTTCGAAGAGATTATGCTGGCACAAATTAAAAAGCAGCAGGAGGTTTGATTGCAAAAGCAGATATAATGTTAACTAGGTTTAGTGGACATGATTCCATACAATCATTTACAAGCCACAATTAGTTCATTATTTACAGTCATTTTCTGTTTCACCAAGGTAAATGCATTATGGTGTTAGGTCCATTAATACGTTTATAAGCCTCCCCTGGCATTCTAGTAACTTGGTTTTGATATAATTGGACAATAAGAACAGGGAGATTGAGTTTACATCCCTTGCTTTATCAAATGCCATTGTCCTTTATTGCAATCACAAATGCTTGTTAGTAAGTACATTCTTCCAAAAAAAAAAAAAAAAGAGCATCTCCCCTCTTATGAGGCCAACACTATTTATGTAACCATTATCTATAATGAAATAATCATACAGATTCACGTCCGAGTAAGCACGTGCACAAACATCTCAGAAACAGGATTTTCATGGAAATTCAAACTGTAAGCAGCATTGGTGGCATAGAAAATTTGTTAGCCGGAACCTGAAACAGGTCAAAGATTTAGTTTTCAGGGTTGAACAGCTGTGTGCAAAACTGTTTTTCATTCATTACATCCATGAGAGTTAAGTTGTATGTATATCTATCTATATATATCTATATCTATATATATATGCCAGATTGTTTTTGTCTTTTTTGAAAGAGTAGCACTTCAGTATTATTTTTCCATTTATTTCTCATTCAATTGTTGATATTGTGCAAATTTTGCATTATGGCTTATTCTATTGAATTTGATCTACCCATCAATACTATGAATGTGTGTGTCATATATATATATATATATATCTATATCTATATATATTCACGTATACATGCAAACAACGTAACAAACAGCAATATCATGTATAAGGTGCTACAGTGCACACAACAAATTGGTGATCAATATTAAGAGCCTGGGATCTTTTCTTGAAGAGGCCTTAAATATATGGCATGGTCACTGACTATGACCCATCCCAGTTTAGGGATTTGGTATCCTGTGGTTACAAATATCCAGCATTTAAGTTCCTTTGACTCATCTCATAAGAAATTTGTATAATAGATCAATATAATAGATTCCATTGAATTTGATACAGTGCAAATAATGACTTCCCATGCCCTCCCATGCTTAGTTGTCTGCACTGTATCACAAAATGACATTTGAAATGGAAAATTAGATTTCAGGTACTAATTTTGTATAGATAATCCCATCACGAATCAGAAAGTTGAACGCAGAAATGGCAAAGTCTGCTCTTTATACTTTAGACGAATGGTCAACCTTGTTCAGAAGTACAGGAGTAGTTTGATGGAGAAGGGAAATAGGAAGAAGAAGGAAAAATGGTCAATTATATCCTAAGAGCAATGTGTCTTATTCCTATCACTTTAAATATTAGAAATAAATTAGTTTGAAATATATAAACTATTTTTTCTTTAAAGTAAAATTGACACTTCAAACTGGAGCAAAGCTACTTCAATAAAGGAGAAATTCTATAAACATGAAAGACACCAGTTATAAGAATCACAACAAATATTCCTAAATCTGATTGAATTGGAAAGCTTACATTGTTCAGCAGTTGAGTTATAGTTCAGTTTTAATTTCTAATTAATTCTACTTTTATTACAACTTTTCATGGCATAAAATTATTCATGTTGAACAAGCTTTTTATTAAAGTATTCAATGACATTTAGATTCTCAATAACCTACCTGGGTATCCTTGACCATTGTAAGCAATGCTAGCGCACAGGGATGAATCACAGTATCCAGGGGGGCCAGGAGGCCCTCTGATACCACCATTACCAGGTCGGCCAGGTGGCCCAGGTGGACCTCGGGAACCTGTAGAACCTGGTGGGCCAATTCTGGATTCTCCTTGTGGACCTAATTGTAGAATGAAAAGGAAGGTATTGTATCAATAAATTCAATGCAAGGCTGTTTAGTAAAGTGGTTGGCAAAATTAAAAACTAGATTACACTCAAGCATATAGTTAAGGAATGTTTCCAATTGGTTTCTACATATGGTGCTAATGAACAACCACAGGAAACTCAAAACTTAATTCATCATTAGTTATTTCCCTGATTTTAAGATCTTTAGTCATAGAAAATTGTTTTGGCCCGACTGAGCCGGGTGGATTACACAAGGAAGCAATTTCTATGTTACATTTCAATTCAAGCGTAAGGTTACTTTAATTTTGCTACTCCTCCATAGCTTTAGAATATATGAGATAATGTTTTCTTTGGAACAATTTATGTTCATGGTTAAAAGAAATGTAGAGTTTTCCTAAAATGAAGGTAGAAATTGTTGCAAGCTTATGGAGTTTGTCACGAACATTCATCAGTAAATTGAAGGCAGAAGCAATGAGAAAGAATCTGACTAAACTTGCCAAAATCTAAGTAAATAACCAAACTATATTAATAGCAAAACTAGCCACCATGACAGCACCATGATCTATGAGAGAGTACTGTAACTTTGCATATGGAGAGAGAGAGAGAGAGACGGACAGGGAGGGAGAGAAGTATTACAAATAAAAGCCAACTGCTACTGTGGAATTTCTCAAACATTTACTTAGTGTTTTCAACTGATGTGTGGAGTTAAGGAGGATGAACAACATCAGGCTGAATAAAAGTTTCAAACATTTGATAGTACATATCATTATTTTTAAGAGTATATATCACTATTATAACCCACCTGGTGACCCTGGCGAACCTCGTTGTCCTTGTATTCCAATTCCTCTTTCACCTTTCTCTCCGGGCAGTCCTAAAGCACACCAAAAAAGGAAATATATTCAAGCTGCGTCACAGAAGTACTGGCTTCAATTCCTCTGGAAATATCTTACGTCAAGCACTTGCTTTTGCTTCGGCTGTTTGGTCAATGCCACTTTGAGGAACAAAAACTGTTTTCATGACCTGGCATTTCATGTATGCTCTTTGTTTTGCTGATAGTCCCACCACTGTTCTAAACCCTGAACAATCAGTTAAGACCCCCTTCCCCTGCATGGGAACATCCTCATGACCCTAAGGACAACCCACCTCGCTCGCCAGGGGATCCTTGCATGCCAGGTGTGCCCGGAAATCCTGGCCTGCCTCCACTACCAGGTTCTCCTGAGGTCCCAGGAGGTCCAGGGGGACCTGGTGGCCCTGGAGGTCCAGGCTGGCTGCGAGTTGAATGGTAATCGTTTGGAATTTGATTCAGCATCTGGTTAAATCGGGTCATTTGGCCTTTTGGGGAAGAAAATAAAGAAGAAATAGATTAAGAAAATAAAGAAATAGATTAAGAAAATAAAGAATAGATTAATAATGAAACATCCTTTTAGAGGGATTTAAAAACACCTATATATCCACCAGCAAAGTCAAAACCAGTACAATTTACCATTTTAAAAAGAAAGAACTATTCAATAAGCGGAAGACTTATGCATAGGCTTATATTAGTTCCTTTCTCCAACTCAATCAGGAATGGATTATGCTGCACTTCAGATATTTGTGATTATGCATTGATTTCTCTGATAAATATTTTACTACTCCTCTACCGTTCCTATCCACCAGTGGAAATATATAATTTTAAATCTAGGGTAATGAATGGCTAAGTACGTGTGACTGTCCAGAGTGATCTAAACATGCTGTCAACACAAGTGTCTCCTGGATTATGACCAGTGAATAATAAACAGTTAGGATGGTTGCTTGAAGAGTGGGGAAAAAAGAGGAAAAGCATCACTAAACAGGAGATTAAAAATAGCACATGTAATTTTTCATAAATTAGCACAGGGTTCTGCAATGGTATTCCACAAAACCCTAGGATTACATACAAATTTGATGGTGAAATACTAAGAAGTAAAAAAACATCAGTTGATTGTTGTTGTTTTTAACTAGATTCCCCAGTTCTAGTCCTGCCTTAGGCAGAAAGCCAGCTGGGTGACCTTGGGTCAGTCCCTTCTCTCAGCCCCAAGAAGAATGCAATTACAAATCATTTCTGAAAAATCTTGCCCAGAATACTGCAAAAATACATCCAAGCTATTGCCAGGAGTCAACACTGATTCAAAGGCACAAAACAAAACATGATGTTAACTAATAAGTATAAATCTAAATGTTAAAAGAATTGCTCCTAGCAATACCATCCTTGACTTCTGGCTCGGACTACTTAATTAAGGAAGGTGCCACCGATAAGCAACTGAAACGACTTTGTTCTGTGCCTTCCACTTTCTATATGGATTGTGTACTAACATATGCTTGTAAAAGAAACTGTCCTCCAATTTCCCATTAAGAAAACAACCCTTTAGAGCAGGGGTGTCAAACTCAATTTCATTGAGGGCCGAATCAGGGTTTTGTTAGACATCGTGTGTGTGTGTGTGTGTGTGTATGTCCAGCTCGACATCACTCATATTGGAGGTGCTTGTGGTGGTCCGAGCACTCTGCCATGAAAAATGAGCCCTCACAGGCTCTGCTTTCGGCTGTGACAGCATTCTGCAACCCTCTGCCAGCAAAAATGGAGTGGCCCGCCCGAGCTCCATTTTCACTGGCAGAGGTACAGTAGGCCCGTCCTTCACTGGTTCCAAGGTGGCCCCACAGGCCAGATCTAAACATCCCACGGGCCACTCCTGCTTTAGAGGGAAGGCTGTTATAGATCACATAGCTACTCTGCAAACATCTCACATGTTTAAAATCCACAGTGTATTAGGGCCTGACAACTTGTTATATGGCTTTTGTTGTATGTGATAGAAGAACCACTTACTGTTGATCATTTGTTCGCAGACTTGTCTTGCCACAGCTCGCATCATACCCTGGGAAGCAATATCTCCCTTAGGAAAAAAAAAAGACTGTTGGTTTATTTCTCATCATGGTCAGAAATTTTAAAAACTGCATTTAATGAGTTAAAAAATGTACGTGAATTTATTTTAAAGTTGTACTTACTCGGTCACCTTTTTCACCTTTCAATCCAGCTGGCCCCTGTAACAAATTATATTCAATCAAAATGTTATCACAGGATAGCATTGCCAGGCACAAATAAATGACACTGTAGCAAAACCCAAAAGAATGAATTAAAAAAAAATATTCATAGTGGATGTTTCTGCATCAGATGAGTAACTTCCAGGGATTGGGTGGGGGATGGGGGTTAAGTAAAGAGCCCAAATTTTTTTAGACACAGGCCTCATCTACGTATGCAGAAAAACAATATGGTGAAATATATTGAGCAGATTGGACTACTGGTCTGTATTTCCCTACCGAAAACAGGATGCCACAATTGAATGTTTTCTGGATTTTTAAATATCAGAACCCCTTGCAATCCTTTGCAGAATTTTCCCCTTTGCAATTATACAGGACAGAGCTGTTTGAAATAGTAAAATGCTGAACCAGTGGATATCCTTGTCCATCGATTCAGCATGCCTTAATCTCATTATGCAGCAGAGTGAAGAACATATGAATGTCCCGGAGCTTTATTCATATACAGCATAAATATTATACAGGATGAAGCTGAGTGACTGACAAGGATTGTGAGGGTTCATGATTGTGCTTCATCCTCTTTTTCCCCTCTTCCTTCCCTACCACTTATGGACTTGGCTGCCTCCCTCTGTTCCCCACTATATCTTTTCTGGCAGAGCAATCAGGTTTCATTCTATACAGAAAACATAACCCTATTTCATCCATGCATGGACCCAAACAGTCAAAATGTTATGTTTCTTTTCAAGCATAGATCATCCAATAACAGCTGTTTTACTCATTTGGAATTTGCGTGGAATCTTTTACTTGATCACATATTTAAATTTTGATTTCTTTTTTTAATATACATACCCTTCACTCTATTTCCTTTTGTGGTAAGCAACATGACGCAATACACAAAAAAGAAGTAAGAAATAGTAAGGCAAAGGAATTGAGGCATGAGAAGGAAATGTGACTACATCAAGCCATTCAAAACACTTTGATCTGCAAATCATTCTTGCTTGCTCTGCATTCATGAACTGTTTCAAATATTGTTTATTGATCTTCATATTTGCACTGCCCATGTGTGTGAGTGGGTATGTGGGTCGGTGTGTAGCTTTTAAATTCTAATCGGATATGAATACAGAAATTGGTCTCATCTGGTTTAGGAATATGGGAAACTATCTACCACATGAAACATTAATCAAAATAGTTCAAGAGCATTGGCTGTGTCTTGGAAGATTTGAGACACTGGTCTCTCCTGTTTCCCTCCTCAAAATGCTGAACCTTTTGCAATCAAAACAGTTATGTGGCCATTGAGCTATGTTCTATCCGTTTCCAAGAGAGATTTTTATTCATAAAATATATTCTATTCTGCCTTGACAATAAAATAAAGTTATGTATAATTACTGCTAAAGTAATGATCAAGCAGCTTTTTAAGTGTGTAACTTTCAACTTTATCATCTAAAATGGATTTGTTTAGAGTCATCTATAAAAGTGATTTGAAAAAGAGGACATGCTGAACTACATTAGTATTTCTATTTCTCCTATGAGACATTCATTCAATATTGTTTTCTGGGATGTATTCCTGTCTTTATGAATGCCAGTTCTGAATGCCAATTCAATGAGAAAACAGGGTAGGTCTGTATATAGTTAATATTCAGTTTCTGTACAATAAATGGATAAAATAATTTTTAAATGCAAAATCAAAAATTGAGCATTGGTCTTTTTTTCAATTAATTCCTCATTTTTAATTAAAATGAAATGTAGAAGAAACAATCTAACTACCTGATGACATATCATAATGAATTGTCTAAGTAACTTGTTTTTTCCCTGGAATAAGGAGTCTCCCCCAACCCTAATTGTTAAAAAAAATAAAAACTCTTTCAAAGTCAAGCTTGTCTTCATACATGTAGCAGGCCTTGGCACAAATATGCACGTGGCTTCCCTCTGTCTTCTTTGATTATTTTGCAAGTTATCTATCTAAGCTACACTCCTGGAATTTCCAGATTGTCCCTCATCTAAGGGGACTAGCCAGGGCCAGTCCTGTTTAGTTTCCAAACTAAGTTCAGTCAGGTGCTGAAACCTGTTTCATTTATTATAAGCAACATTGAAGGAGTTGGTTAGAGCGAAGCTGTCAGAGTGATTGACTTTTTACTATGGACATTCAGCAGTAGTATTCTGGAGATATACACAAATGCACACACAAACATACAAATAGTCTTGTAGGAAGTTTGTATGTATAACTCTTAATCCAATCCTTCTAGAATTTAACATAAATGAGTAAGTTGTATTCTTTCATTAGCAAATGGAAAAGACCTCCCCTATTCCAAAATAAACTGCTTCTCTTCTTTAACAAATGTTATTGGCTTACTTTGAATGGTAAATATTGTTGCAAATGTCTCTCTGAAATGTGTCACTTAATACTTTTTCATCAACCCAGCAAGACACAGCTAGATCTGGTACTAGTTAGTTTCTTTCAAAACATCTCAATGTGTTTTCAAGCTGCTTAATGATACACGAAAAATATTCCAGGAGTCAGGAGCAGAACATATCTGTATGCAATTTATAAAATATGTCACTGAAATCATGAACAAAAGTAAAACATTTACACTAGAGATAATTTCAAATATAGGAACTTCAGCAACCTGACTCAAAATACCCTAATATATTCTTAAGCCTGGCTGTGAATGTAAGGTTCAGAGAGCACATCTGTCTCTGTTTCATAATTCTTTGTTACTGTCGGACTATTTAGAATGAAGCAACATCAGCAAGATGCACTGGAAATGAAGACAACATATGCTCATAGACCTATGACAAAGTAGGAAACCACAGCAATAGCAAAATCCATCTCTCCGGAAAAAAAATAATAATCAAAAAAAGACAACACTGAGGTGGAAATTATTATACAGAATAAAGTCATGACATGTTGATTTTTTTTTTTTTTTTGCAGAATGCAAGTCGTACAACAATAATCTTCGACAATGATTCTCAATCTTTTCCTTTATTTGGAAAAATACGCTAAACCAGGGGCTGACAATGCAGTAACTGTATACACCATGGATACAGAATTCACTTAGATGGCATCTGACTCCCAAATTAAATGAACTTAATTTTTATTTTTAAAATCCCAAGAGACATATGGGAAGAAAGCCATAATCTCATACGATGCTAACTGAGAATGCCAGAATGTTTTTTTTAAAAAACAAAACAAAAACAAACCCTGGTAATCTTGAGCAATACTGGCCAATGCAAATTGAATATTATTGATGGTTACAACTGGACACCTATGATACTCTTGTGGACTTTACAGATTGGGAACTATTGATTTTAAACAACAGGAAGCATATGCTGGCTGTATTTTGGGAAAATAAAATAACAATTTGATATGAAATCGATTATCTAGGATTGGGTGGTTCCATTTTAATGCCTATTTTTAAGCAGAGGATAGAGAACAATAGGTCAAGGGTTGTTCCAATTTGAATTCCTTCACTGACTCAAAGAGATTTTGGTCCTGATGTCCTAGATCGCCCTTCTCAACTCTATTAAGTTAAAGAACAACTTGTCTCAAAAGTATTCCTATGGATCCATTTAAGGATTTGTCTAATTCCTTCCTTTATCGGTTGTGTATTAATGAATCATTCTCAAATCTAGATATCTGAAGCAGATTTACTACAGTTCACTTATTTATAAATTTATGCTCCAGCTTTTATACTTGTGCCACTTCAAGGTAGCCAATATTTTTTTAAAAAGAATATTAAAATTTGAAGGCACAAATTAGAAACAGAGTTCTTCTGGTTTTAAAAAGGATTGATTTAAACAATTCTTCCAAAGGTTTTATCTGGATTTCTAAAATATTTAACCTTTTTTTATAACTGGGGTGCAATGGCTCAGCAATTAAAAATGCTGAGCTTGTCAGATGGAAAGCTGACAGCCCGAATTCGAGACCTGAGTGCTGCACCAGATGGTGAGCTCCCATTCTTTGCCCCAGAGCTCCTGCTCACTTAGCATTTCAAAACTTCCCTACCATCCCATCAGAGCTGAAGAAGTTTCTTGGATGAGAAGCAAAACATCTTCAAAGAAAAACAAGAAAGTCCAGCTGCCTCTTGGGGGGGGAAAAGCACCTTTGGGGCAATCATGACCTGGATGACTGAGAATCTCCAGACATCTAGCAATTTGAAAGCATGCAAATGGTAGCAGATAAATAGGTTGCACTTCAGTGGGAAGGTAACAATGTTCCGTGTGCCTCAGCATAGAGTCATGCTGGTCACATGACCACGGAAGTATCTTCGGACAATGCTGACTCCCTCAGCTAAGAAACGGAGTCAGTCATAACTGGACAGGGGAAACATTTATCTTTATTTGTAACTGCTAACCCCCATCCTATTTCTCCACATTTATCTTTGTTCAATTTCATTGTGTTTTCCTCAGTCTTTTTCTATCATTTATACAGATTTTTTTCAACTTCATTTTTTCTTTAATTTATTAGGTAGCCCATAGAAGTTTGTATTAGCTGTTAATTCGATAATTGTTGCTTCATCGCTTTATGTGGGTCATTAATAAAAGTGCTGAAGAGTAAAGAGCTTAGTGCTGAAGCTTTGGACATTGTCTGGCAAGACTTATTTTTTTTTACTAACTCAAGGTGACGTCTACCAATTGCCTCATTGTTTTCAACTCTAACCCTGACCCTAGGATACAGGTCAAATGGATGTTTAAATTCATTAAACATAAATAGGAATTCCTTAATTCACGTTTCTATGAAATTCAAACTTCATCTTGCACCTTCATATTTTCATACTAAAGACAAGTTAAACACAAGTTAGCTTTGCCTTTTTTTTTTGGTACCTATTAGCATTTTGCTGTTTTAACAGAGTTGGTGGTACAGCAAACATTAATCCCTGCAAATCTGCACCATTTTGGATTATTTGCTTGGAAGATCAGATAATGTTCCCAAAATGCCCTGAATTACTATGCTACTATGCTAGTGTCTAATCTAATTAAGATATATTCTGTGAAACGAACATGAGTGTCTAGAATGATCTAAATAGTTTTACAATATGCTTAGGTTAGAATTTACTACATATGATCATGAGATCCTCATCTCATCCTTGGACTAAACTACCGTATACTATATACTTTAGTTCTTTGTTTGACTGGTTCTACAAAGATACACTGAAAGTCTGAAATTATCAAAGGAAATGGTGCATGATTGAATAAAGTGCTACTTTGGAACTGGGCCATACAACTACAGAAAAGCCTACATGAACCTTAGATCTCTGCAGGCTACATTTGGCTGACTACTCACACATATGGTCCTAGGCTGCCCTTCTGGCATTTTTTGATAGCACAAATGTCGGTGCTGAAATCCTATCTGCCTCATAAGTCTAACCAAACATCTGCACAAACTCTATGCTCCAGAGTTCCTGCTGGGAACAGATCTATAAACATGAGAAAGGGTGATGTCAAGCATATAGGGAATGAGGCAATTATTATAGGCTCTCAAATCATGTTATAGATTCACCTTATATAAAAATAGAACAAAAAATAAGATTCAGTGTAAGGCTAGGATTGAATGCAAGCTAAGTAAAAAATTCCTGGTAAAGGAAGTTTTGACTTTCTGCTTTTATTTTTTTAGTTGGGGTTGGGGAGTTTTGTCTTTTTTTAAAGTTATGTTCAATCTATTTTATACTATATGTTCTATGTTTCCCATTTCATAAAAGCAGAAAGCTGCCCTGCTATTTTTTTTTCCGCAAGCATAGCCAGAGGTGATTTTAAGGATCAGAAAAATAAGTTTGGGGTCTCAAGTTACACACTCTTAATTTAAATGATCTGTAGGATTACACCCAAGTTATAATACTGCCAACATTTAATTGGCCTCTGCTCCTTAGCTTCTTTATACCACTTTGAAATTTACAATAATTACAGAAGTGATCATGCTTCCCTTCCATGAGAAGAGTAGCTTCCTTATGTCTTCAGATCAGGCTGCTCTTAGAGACAGAGGCAGATTACAATTCAGACCAACTCGAATCTATGCTAGTCTGACTCATTTACTCTAGAGATACAGCACTAGTAATTCTTACAGCCATGAGTTGCAAAGCCTTTCAACCAGGAGGCAAAATAATACAAAACCAACCCCCAGATTATGGTATGTGTTTAGCAGAATCAGTCCTAGGACTCAAATTCTTCATCAGAACAGTCTATGGTTCTTCAAGAATACTGATAGCAAAAAAGATACAGAGACTGATGTTGTTGCATTTCCATGATTCCTGGGCCAGCCAATGCAACTGCAGAATACTCTGATGCCAAATATCCCAAAGATGCTTTTTCAAAAGGCAACTGGACTTTCTTTGTTTTTCCTTGAAGTTGTTTCACGTCATTTCAGAACTGAAGAATCTTTTTAGATAAGAAATGAAACATCTTGGCTTTTGAAAAAGTACCTTTGGGACAACGACAGGGATGGGTTTCTACCGGTTCTGTCCACCTCTGTAGAACCGGTTGCTCCAAAGAGCAGCAGATATAGAGCTGGTTCTATGTCTGCTGCTGTAGTGGCCCACCCGCCCGCCCGGGCTCTTACCTGATCTTTATTTCCTGCTTTTTCAACTGCAGCTGCTTTGCGTGACACAGCTGCAGTTGAAAAAGCAGGAAAAAGGGGCTTTTCCAACTGCTGCGCACTTGCACGCAGCGCTGCTCAGCTGTCCAGGCAGCTCAGCAGATTGTAAATTGCACTCGTGCGACTCGCGCGATGCTATTAGACAGAACCAGTAGTTATAACAGTCGGATCCCATCCCTGGACAACGATCACCTGGATAGCTGAGAATCTCACAGACATCTGATGCCAAATGTTTGCCCATCACATTCTTGGACACATCTGTCAAAGGAGCTCCATCGATTGCTATTAAGGCCAACTTTTGATCCTACTTAATCCCTAAGACAGTTTCAAATTTGACGCTATCATCAGAAGATTGGGAACCTTCACTCAAGTATTTTTGAGCTTTAAATGTTCTCAAAATGCTACATTAAAAAAACCACCATGGGCAGTATATCACACTTGACAGAATTTTAAAAATAGCAAATAGTAATCCCACTAAGTAATTTACCTCTGGGATGTTTATGTAGTGGAGAAATATAAACCTTGGCATGTTCAATTGGATTACTTTTTCTTAAAGTGAAAAAAACAACCCTATAACCACAATTTCCAGGCCTGACTTTCATGCTGCAAATAGCATGAATGATAAAAAGTGACTTGCCATCAATGATAGCCATTGTATGATGTACCATTTCCTACTGGTAAAGTAAAAGGGCTCTTCACAAAAGATACAATAAATGCCAGTGACAGATTCTCTTACCGGTGAACCACGATCGCCTGGTTTTCCAGATGGACCAGCAACTCCAGGCACTCCTGGGGCACCCTGTGAACAAGTAGATTGAAAAGACAGATAGAAAAGGAAAATAACAGCCTTGAGGAATTTTATTTATGTGTTTGTTCAATGTATATGTCAGCTTTGGAAGCCATATTCCACGCTGCCACCTAGGCCTGAGACAGTGGGAGAAGGGTGATTTCAATTGAGTAGTTCTAAGTAGATGAAATAAAATTCTTTTCTTAGTTCAAGGTTATTAAGTGTGGCGCAGTATGAAAAAAGGATCTTACACTGGGACAGATCGTGATTGGTCCATGTGATGTGATGATGGGAAAAAAGGGGATGGATTGTAGTTTGGGACATTGTGGGAAGTCCGTTAATTTTAACGGATTTTCTTATATCTACAATTTATATTGTTTGCATGGTGATGTCACCATGCAAATCATGTCAATTGCCTCAAAACCATACTTTCATATTTAACAGAGGAGAAACTGACGTGCCCTTTTCCCAAGTAGTCCATTGGAATGAGGATTCCCTTATATTATTAAAGATCTAATCTTGGTCTTTTTCTAGCAATAAAAATGTGAACTAAAAAAGACCAACCAGGTTTTGGTAAAAAAACAACAACAATCAGCTTAAAACCATTAAGGCTTATCTTTTGCCAATCTTTTAAAAAATTGATATTTATAGGAAGGTGACACAGCACAAAGGGAAAATGAGATTATACATTTCATTAAATAATGTTGTAGCAAGATGCAGACGTATTATGCAACCAACAGAATTGGAACAACTAAATTGGACCTACAACTAATATTGCAATGTAGAGGACACATCTTCAGAGCTCCAGTAACTCAATTTCCAGCAATTCAGCAGTTGATATCACTGCACGTAGTGCTCACTTTGTTGTCCTGTAGTCTCCTTTTCTTAAGGCTTTTCTTTAATATACCTTCATACTGCAAATCTTCACATACTTCTAACTCAGTGTGTTTCTCAAGTTTTAAGGTGTGTTGACTTCAATTCCCAGAATTCCCTAGCCAGCATGCTTGGAGTCAAAGTCCATGCTGCTACGATTGAGAAACACTGTCTTAGCCAATGACTGGAGCCATTTTTGCTATATTAAGCATCTACACTCAGAGCACTGAATTAATATGCCAGCTGTAATTTAATTTGCTTTGATACCATGTGTTCCTGCAAATGATGACTGTTGTGACCAGCAAGTCCTCACCCCGGTCCGCTGTTTAAGCGGGAGCCAGAGAAGCCCTGATTGGCTGGACCGTTTGACAGCTCCGTATAAAAAGAGCTGTCAAACGGAATCAGCTATCTCTCTCTCTCAGCTGCTGCTGCAAGCCCCGGCTAAGTTACAAGTTAAGCTTTATATTGCCTCTGCCTCTTCTTCTCAGCGCGCCAAATACAAAACTGGCAACGAAGGTGGGATGCTGATGAACTGAGGCAATTCCTGAGGCAAAGAGAGAGAGCACCACACCGCACCACAGTCCCTACAAAAAGTGCTGTCACTAAGAGCTGTCACTAGAGCAGTCACTTTCGAGCGAAGATATGACAGCACCGCCAAATTTTCCACCTTTTCGGCCGACCACTGAGACTTGGACATTGTATATCAACAGGTTCAAATGCGTCATGGATGCTGCAAACTATCTGACATTCCTCCTAACAGGAAAAAAGCCTATTTCCTGAGTTTCTGCGGGGCCACCATTTTCGACACCACCACCGCAGTGGCTCCTCAGATGGTCAAGGCTGTTACCTGGAAGAACTACAGGAGGTGCTCGGAAACCACTATGCCCTGAAGCCATCGCGTATCGCCCGCCGCCGTGCATTCAGGAGAAGCCAAGCAGAGGGTGAGTCCATGCCTTTCAATGCGGTTTCCGAGATCATCTAGACGATATGCTGCTGGACCAGCTCATCTGCGGGGTGAGAGACCTTCGACTACAATGACAGCTGCTGGCTAAAGGTGACCTCAACTTGAAGCAAGCAATCGAAGAGGCTCAAGTCGCTAAACTATCCAATTTATCCGCAGCCGAAATACAAAAGCCAAGCAGTCTTCCCGGGGTAAAACCCAGCACTGCTGTCCACTACGAAGACACCTACTGCGAAGATGATGACTTCGAAGAGGAAGAAGCAATCAATCGCCTCCGAACACCTCAGCTGACTCAGAGAAAAAGTTTTCCCGCCGACAGAAAACAACTTACACCACAGCTGATTTGTCTCAGCTGTGGAGGAAGCCATCTGAGATCCACTTGCCATTTTAGAAATGCTGTCTGCCTAAAGTGCCAGAAGAAAGGCCACATAGCTAGAATTTGTCAGGCACCAAGAAACACAATACTGCCATCTCAACATCGCAATCAACCAAAAAACCGCAAATCCAAAGAGGAATGCTATGCCATCAACAAAGCATTCCCAAGAGCTGAGTCACTGACTTATTCCTTTTAACATTAATAAAATTAATGTTGATCTTCTCTTAGAAGGCAGCCCCTGTCAGATGGAGGTGGACACTGAATCATCTCTATCCCTCATCTCATGGAAGAAGCTACAGAATCTGCTACCAGACTTCCACAAGAATCAGCTAAGCCCCTGCAATCTGACCCTGAGGGACGACCAAGGACAATCCATTCCAGTCCTCAGAACAGGCAAGTTCCATATTCAATGCAACAATTTTCAGGGTCACCTTCCACTAGTTATCGTAACTGGGAGCTTACCTAGCTTACTGGGATTGAACTGGTTCCATTCACTGGGCCTCCAAGTGACTGGAGTAAATGCAGTCACCCCCCACAACTTGCAGCAACTTCTTGCTGACTATTCAGAAGTTTTCAATGACAAATTGGGCTGCTACAATGGCACTCCCATTTCCCTTAACTTGGACCCAAATGTTGCTCCTATACACCTCAAACCACACGGAGTGCCACTGGCATTACGTGCTAAAGTGGATGCCCAGCTTGACAAACTGATTTCACAAGGAGTCTTGGAGCCAATTGACTTTGCTAGATGGGAAACTCCCATTGTAAAAGAGATGGCTCCATAAGAATTTGTTCTGACTACAAGTCCACGATAAACAAGGGACTCCAACCAAATGCTTATCCTGTGCCAATCATACAGCACCTGCTCCATTCGTTGGAAAAAGCTCCATTTTTACCAAGCTGAACATGACTCAAGCATACCAGCAATTTCCAGTGGACAATGAGACAGCAGAGGCCCGAACAATCATTACGCATAGGGGCGCTTTCAAATGTAAGCGTTTACAATTCGGTGTCAGCGTTGCCCCTGGCATATTCCAATCCATTATGGAATGTTCACTATACAATATCAAGGGTGTCATCCTGTACTTCTATGACATCCTCATTGCTGCTGACAACCCACAAGAACATTTGGAAAGGCTACAAAAAGTTCTCCAGTGTTTTTAAAATGCTGGACTAAAATTAAACAGGAAAAAATGCATCTTCGCAGTTTCACAGATAGATTTCCTAGGATATCATATTGACCACAAGGGAATTCACCCTGTAGAATCCAAAGTACGGGCCATTCAGGAGGCCCTGGTTCCTCAGAACAAGACTGAGTTACAAGCCTTTTTAGGACTTCTTCTACAGCACTTTCATGCCCCACAAGGCCACTGTAGCAGAACCATTGCACAGACTATTAGACTCTAAGACACAATGGCATTGGGGATCCAAGGAACAAGCATCCTTCTCTGCAGTAAAATCCCTCCTCACTTCAACCAAGGTCCTCATTCAGTTTAGCGATGCTCTTCCCCTTATCCTAGTTTGCGATGCTTCCCCTTATGGAATTGGGGCAGTCCTAGGTCATAAATTGCCAAATGGCCAGGAAGCCCCTATTGCTTATTTCTCCAGGACACTCTCCATGTCTGAGCGCAACTACAGCCAAATAGACAAAGAGGCATTGGCTGCGGTGGCTTCAGTCAAAAGGTTCCATGAATACCTCTATGGACACCAGTTTGAGCTCATCATGGACCATCAACCTTTGTTAGGCATCCTGGCAGGGGACAAGCCCAGCCCACAAATCCTCTCCCCAAGAATGACCCGATGGGCAATCTTCCTAGCTGCTTACAGCTATAAGTTGACTTACAGGCCTGGCAAAGATGTAGCTCATGCTGATGCCCTAAGCAGGTGCCCTTTACCCCTTCTGGTTGCTGATCCTGCCCCTTCAGCCTCAGTGTTCCTGCTGGAAGATCTGCAATCGCCTACGCCACCTCCAGAGATGTACAACTATCTAAAGTCATGTACTGGGTGCGAAGGGGGTGGCCCAGGGAAACCACCACAGTGGACTTCCGCCCCTTCAAGGCGCGCCAGATAGAACTGAGCGGGCTAAAAGGATGTTTACTGTGGGCCCCCCGAGTGATTATTCCCAAACTGCTAAGGCCTCGCATTATTGAAGTTCTTCATGAGGGTCACCCAGGCATCAACAGAATGAAGGCTCTGGCCAGGAGCTATGTGAAGTGGCCGGATCTGGATGAGGCAGTTACTAATAAAGTTCAAAATTGCTCCATCTGCCAGATGTCCAGGCCTGCCCCACCAGCTGCCACTTCTGGGGAGTGGGAAGATACCAAAATACCATGGTCTAGAGTACACGTGGACTTGGCAGGCCCCATGCAAGGGAAAAACTTCTTAATAGTGGTAGATTCGTTTTCCAAGTGGGTAGAGCTGGTTCTCCTCCAATCAACCACTTCAGATGCTGTAAGCAGAGCTTTAGACAAAATTTTTGCTTCCCATGGGTACCGTGACACTCTGGTTTCAGATAACAGGCCCCAATTCACCTCAACCCCTTTTGAACTATTCCTAGCCCAAATCATCCAGCCTCCAATGGCTTTGAAGAAAGAGCTGTAAGATCTGCAAAAGACTCCCTGGGAAGGATAACGGAAGGGGACTGGTCTACCAGGGTAGCCCGGTACCTACTTACCCAACACATCACTCCAAGCTCAGCCACCAACCTCATCCCTGCCAAACTATTAATGGGAAGGAGACTTCGCATTAGACAGGCTGCACCCTAATTATGCTCCCAGGGCGTCCCTCGACTCATCCAGCAAGGCAAGGGAATTTAGGCCTGGGACCTGGTCTACTCCCGAAATTATGCAGGGAATCCCTTATGGCTGCCCGGATGGGTCGAACAGAAAACAGGCCCCAAATCATACAGGGTAAGGTTGACGGATGGACGATTGTGGCGCCGACATGTGGACCAGCTAAGGAGCCTGGCCTCAACAGGTCCAGCCCAGAGGGAAGCCGAGGCCACGGACTCCGAGTAGGGCAATACCGAGGCCCCTATCCGACCGACTCCCGACCAGCAATCTCTCGCGGAGGACTTACCTGAGGAAGCTGCGACATTGACTACCAGAGGCCACTTGCCGGCGTTTGGAGAGGTCCCAATGACACCAGAGGCCCTTCCATGGCCAGCCGAGAATGCCCGAAGAGAGCCGACACCACCCCGAGGGGAGGGCGCCAGTCTGGCAACAGGTCCTTTCACATCGCTGCTGACGACGGAACTAAGGCGTTCAGAGCGAGTGAGACGTCGCCCCGCCCATCTGGACAATTACGCTTGCACAGTTCCAGGGAGAAGGAGTGTTGCGACCAGCAAGTCCTCACTCCAGTCCACTGTTTAAGCGGGAGCCGGAGAAGCCCTGATTGGCTGGACCGTTTGACAGTTCCGTATAAAAGGAGCTGTTCAACGGAATCAGCTGTCTCTCTCTCAGCTGCTGCCACAAGCCGCGGCTAGCCGTGGCTAAGTCACAAGTTAACAATAAAGCCGGTTAAACTTTATATTGCCTCCGCCTCTTCTTCTCAGTGCGCCAAATACAAAAATGACAGTACTGTCTGACACAAAACAGACACAACTCCCACCAGCACCATCTATCATAGTTCCATTATTACATTATCATTCCAACAATGAAGCCAACACTAACCGCTGGTCCTGGGGGACCTCTTGGTCCTGATGGGCCATCTTTTCCTGTAAAACCCTGTTTGGAGAACAATGAACATTATGAATTGGGGGTGTTTTGTTTGTTTGCTTTTAGGGACAATATATTATGCAGAAAAAAATTTGGTCCAACCACCCCGTAAAAAGTATCGAAAACATTCAAAACCACAATGTCTAAACATCCCATGTTATAAGGGATCAGTAACTATAGCTAAAATAACTATGTACTACATACCAAGGGTCTTAGAAAATTTAGTATTTATGCAGAATACTAGTTATAACATTTTAATGCTGTCATAAATAATCTATTTCTTCACTGTAGATAAAGAACAAAAAATTCTGTTAGGCTTATTGCTTATTTTCCTCTTATCCAAAGCCTTTGCTTCTGTATGTTTGGCTGCTTAATGCAATCCTTCCCTGATTTGCATCACAGCTGTACAAAGCCTATCATTTCTTCATCATTCCATCAGTTATTAACTTTCTTCAAACTTGGTGTCCTCTATATGTGTTGGATCATCGATGCCCATCGATCCCAATCAAACCAAAAAAATCTGATCTAAAGAAAAAGTAACTTTAAAGATTATATATTTAAAACCCATTTGTTTCACCCTTTCAAAGTTCAAGGAAACTGACAAAATGAAGACACGTAGAATTATGAATGTTCTAATGTAAAGTTTCCACTCTCCAGGATAAACCAGAACTACTCACTCTGTCACCTGGGGGTCCCATTGCACCAGGAGGACCACTTAGGCCTGGTGATCCCTAGGTGAGAAAGAAAACATTAATTAGATAGGTTTTCAAGCAATGCAGTGTAATTTTAACATATTTTGCCATTTTATTTTAATATACAGTTCATTGTACTGTACTAGGCTCTTTGGATGTAGTGATACTGATTTTGATCCTATGCAAAAGAAATGGATCCAAACAAGTACACAAAATTATCTACTGCAATGTACTATGTCTCTGGTTTCTTCCCCAAACCCCAAAAACTTTAACCTTAGACTGTCTACTATTGACCTCACCCCTTTCCTAAGAGGTCTGTAGGGGGCATGCATAAGTGCACCAACGTGCGTGCCTACCGTCCCTGTCCTATTGTTTCTTTTTTATTCTTATCCATTCCATGTATTCACAACCATGCTTATACTTATATCTGTTATATAGTTGCTTGACAAATAAATAATAATAATAATGAAGTAGATAATAATAAAGTAGACTTTGAGTTATGATTTCAGCATGCTGTACAAAACTGTATTTTGTCTATACTCTGGTTGTTTATAGTTATTTGTATTGCTAATTATTTTAAAGGTAAATATGTCTTATTATCAATCTGTTACAAATCTTATTCAGAGCTCACTCTTAAATAATAGCTACAGGTAGTCCTTGGCTTACAATCACAATTGGGATAAAAATTTCCACTGCTAAGCAAAGTGGTGGTTAAGTGAGTTGTGCTAATTTTGTGATTCTTTTTTTCCCATGTTTCTTAAGCAAATCACTCCAATTAAGAGAATCAGGTAGCTGTAAGCGAATCCAGTTTTCCACATTGACTTCACTTGTCAGAGGCAGTTGGAAAGGTCGCTAATGGTGATAACATGACATTGCAACAGTCATAAATACATGCCAGTTGCCAAGCACTATGGCCATGGGGATGATATGACAATTATAAATGTGAGGACTGGTTGTAAATGACTTCTTTGGTGCCACTCTAATTTTGAATGGTTGCTAAATGAATGGTTTTAAGTCAAGGACTCAGAAGCAATTGTTATTCTTAGTAAGAAGACCTACTAATGATTATGGATGAGAGAAATTCAGCCATTTTGAGAATGGAACATGGTCTGGAAATCTAGACTCTTTTACTCTCCTTCAGGACCATGCTGTTCCAGAAGCAGATCAGCATTTTCTAGAAGTGGATATTTCCCAAACCAGAAGTAGTTTCAAGTGCCCCAGAATCAGCCCTACAACCAGTGTGTCTTTTGGAAGAATGGAAAATAAATAGCAAAGGAACTTACTGATCGCCCTGGAAGTCCGGGTTCTCCAGGGTTACCCTTTGGCCCTTGACGTCCCTAGAATTAAAAAAAGAGCAGTCTTTGTTTATTTCCTTAAAAATCTCCTAAAAACTGTGGGTCTTATTAACAGGCGTGCTATCTTTAAGCCTCAAAACCCATTAGAGCAAACAAGTGCCTGTAGTGTGTGGCTTTTCTTTCGTTCACACTATGAAAACTAGACATGATAGTTTATTAGACAACATTTCCACCCAATAAAACATTAAAGAAATACCTAACCTTCTTGTATTTCCCTGAAAAGATGAGTATATTCTAAGCAAAGAAGCCGATCAAATGCAAATTCAAATAAGCACCACAACATGTCTCTATGTTTATGCAGAATCTATAAATCCTACAGTGTTTAGAAATCTGGTGCATTAATATACCTTGACTTACTTAGCGTACAACTGAATATACTGGGAAAAAGTATGTCAAACTATTAAAAGAAAGCCTTTATTATATTACACTTCGTCTCTTATGCTTGCCAAACAGCATTCATACTTACAGGATCTCCTGTGATGGAAAGCCCATTTATTCCTTGGGGTCCTGGTGGCCCCTGAGGGCCTGGAGGGCCTGAATCTCCACGAACACCTGGTGGCCCCTAAAAATAGCAAAAGGAAAAAAAGTCAATTTTTCAAAAAAGCTACACGAAGATGGAGTCAAGTCTTTGGTGATAACAAGTGACAAAACAATTGCTTTCTCTAACATGATTGCTTTCAGAAATGTTGGCTTGCATTTCCCATCTTCCCCAGCTATGGTGATATATCTTTCATTCTGTAAAGGGTATATACAAAGCTATGTACTTTCCAAGATTTCCTTATGGATAAAGGAAATATAAGCAATTTTAAATATATCAGCATAAAAGCTAAATAGATGTTTATGGGAAAGGCATTATTTGGAAGTGTTAGGAACCCAATTCAATTATTGTAGATAAATGAAATTTCTTGTATTTTTTTGTAGGGAATTTCCCTTCACTTGGATTGCTTGGGGTTGCATACATGAACTAGTACCAAACAAAAGGAAAAACAAAAACTGGAAAACTGGCATCCTTACTTTTTAATTAATTCATATGTATATAAATTCTCCAATGCAAATGCCACTAATAATAAAATTATTCCTGGTAAAAAAAAAGTAAGTGTGCTTTCAATAGATGTTATAACTAATTATACTTCTCAGATGTTATAAATGTCTCCAATTCCTTACAGAAACACCTATAGAAATGTTATATAGCTGATAGGGGCCTTTGCATAGCCATGGCCTTTGCATACTTTCAGACTGTGTGCCAATTGCACCTATTCCTGGATTGGAAGGCTCTGTTCACTGGGACTCATACCCTCATGACCTCCTATTTAGACTAATGCAAAATGCTTTACATGGAACTGTCCTGGAGTAGCATTCAGAAGTTTCAGCTGGAATGGAATGCAGCTGCATAGGTTGCAAATGGCGCTGGCTATCCTGCATATATGTAACGCCACTGGCTTTGGGAGCTGCACTGGTTGCTAGTGTGTTTCTGGGTGCAATTCAATGTGCTGGTTGTCAGCTTCATAGCTTGGAACCATGGTTATCTGAGGTATTGTCTTCTAGTAGTTTCTACCTGTCCAATTCAGATGGACATTCTCCAGGTCCTGTCAGCTCATGAATGTTAGCTGGTGGGATCCAGGCCAAGTGCCTTCTCTGTTGTAGCTCCTACTCTCTGAACATCCTTCCTCCCTCAGATTTTAGGATGGACCTGGCTCTGCTAGCCTTTTGGAAGGTCTTGAAGATCTGACTAAGTGTTCAGGCCCAGGAGTCCTGAGTCTGTGAAGAGCCCCATTTCCTGGTTATGTTGACACCAATGGGTTATAATATATTTTGGCTGCTATGTGTATTTCTTTTTTGCATTGTGTTTTAACTGTTTTAATAGTTTTTATGGTTGTACGTTGCCAAGAGTTGCTGGTTTGAGATGGCAGTTATACAAATTGAACACATAAATACTCACAGGAGGTCCACTTAAGCCTCTTTCGCCCCTTGCACCACTGGAACCTCTGGCTCCCTAAAATCCAGAAAAAGAAACACATGGGAGACAAAGAGATAAAGACCATTATGTTTAATTTTTATATACAGAACATACAATCTTTTCACAATTAGAAGTTATGAAATGTTTTGTGGAGTTAAAAGTTATGAAATATTTCCCTTATAAGTCTCCTTGCTCATTTCACTGGCTTCCATCACTACCTGAATGATTCATTCCCAAACTTGAGATAATGGTATGTGGTGGATGGTAATAGGTTTTCCACATTTGTGTTACAGAAGTTCACTGTTGTTATACAGCCCAAGACATGTAACTATATCAGTAAGACAGATTCTAGGAAATGAGCACACAAATCATGGCTGCTGACTGGTGTTACCGTGCCAAAACTAGAACTGTATTTGCACCAAGACAAATTCCTTGTATATCCAACCACACTTGGCCAATAAAGAATTCTATTCTATTCTATTCTATTCTATTCTATTCTATTCTATTCTATTCTATTCTATTCTATTCTATTCTATTCTGTCCTATCCTATCCTATCCTATCCTATCTGAAGTTAACTACTTGCTACTACAAAAGATGATACAGACAGTCCTCAAGTTATGACTGTAATGGAGCCTGCCCATTATGATTCTAAGTCATAATTTTACAATCTTTTTTTGGTAATTGTAAAATGAATGTGTCAGTTGTAAACTGCCGTGGCTATTAACTGGACCATTGTTCACTATGGCACAGATTTGCCAAAACCCAGGTGAGTGCGGGTTTTTGATAAAAACTATTGTAAAAAGTAGACACAGGACCATGGCAATAAACATGGCCATATTGCTGAGTGCCTTAAGTGCAGTCATGGGATTGCAAAGAACTTTGGATCAAAGTTATAAATCTCCTGTTTTGGGTCTATCCAAACTTTGGGTCCAGTCATAAGTCAAGTTATGTGTTCTGGTCTTCAACTGATACTGATACTGATTCAGTGAACCTTTCAGAAGTTAAACATAGACTTATCCAAATGGCGTACAATCACCATGTATTGATTTTTACTTACAGCAGGTCCTGGAGGTCCCGGAGCCCCCACACTGGTTTGTACACATGTACAAGCATTCGGCAATGATGGGCATTTCGCTTCATCCCTCTGAAATTTAAAGCAAATCATGACAGTTTTACCCTAGATTCCACCTCAAAGCCCACAAGAGATTTTTTTAAAAAAAAAAACTACTACAGCTTTGTTCGGGTATTTTCCCACGTCATTATAGTTGTGCTTTTAAAGTTGTGCCGACATTTCAACAACTTTAAAAACACAATTATAATGATATGGGAAAATACCTGAACAAAGCTGAATACCATACATATAAATACCCACAAAAACTTAAGAAAACATACATATGTATGTGTGTGTGTTTTCGTAGATTTTCACAGGTACAGGTATGCAGGTTTTGGCATGTTCGGGTCTTTCCCTGTGTGAGATTGAGAGTATCTTGGAGACTCAAAACATCGCAAAGCTACTCTCAATCTTACACAGGAAAAGACCTGAACACGCCAAAACCTGCATATATATATGGTATTCAGCTTTGTTCAGGTATTTTCCCACGTCATTATAGTTGTGCTTTTAAAGTTGTAGCAACGTTTCGGCAGAATCTCATCTGCCATCATCAGGCTTCTGTATTGTGTCCGTCTGCATTATCTATACACTATACAGAAGCCTTATGATGGCAGATGAGATTCTGCCGAAACGTTGCTACAACATTAAAAGCACAATTTTAAAAGCACAACTATAATGATGTGGGAAAATACCCGAGCAAAGCTGAATACCATACATATAAATACCCGCGAAAACTTAAGAAAACACACACACACACACACACACACACACACACACACACATATACACTGCTCAAAAAAATAAAGGGAACACTTAAACAACACAATGTAACTCCAAGTCAATCACACTTCTGTGAAATCAAACTGTCCACTCAGGGAGCAACACTGATTGACAATCAATTTCACATGCTGTTGTGCAAATGGAATAGACAACAGGTGGAAAGCATGGGCAGTTAGCAAGACATTCCCAATAAAGGAGTGGTTCTCCAGGTGGTGACCACAGACCACTTCTCAGTTCCTATGCTTTCTGGCTGATGGTTTGGTCACTTTTGAATGCTGGCAGTGCTTTCACTCTAGTGGTAGCATGAGACGGAGTCTACAACCCACACAAGTGGTTCAGGTAGTGCAGCTCATCCAGGATGGCACATCAATGCGGGCTGTGGCAAGAAGGTTTGCTGTGTCTGTCAGCGTAGTGTCCAGAGCATGGAGGCGCTACCAGGAGACAGGCCAGTACATCAGGAGACGTGAAGGAGGCCGTGGGAGGGCAACAACCCAGCATCAGGACCTCTACCTCCGCCTATGTGCAAGGAGGGACAGGAGGAGCACTGCCAGAGCCCTGCAAAATGACCTCCAGTGGGTCACAAATGTGCATGCAGCTGCTCAGACGGTCAGAAACAGACTCCATGAGGGTGTTATGAGGGCCCGATGTCCACCGGTGGGGGTTGTGCTTACAGCCCAACACCGTGCAGGATGTTTGGCATTTGCCAGAGAACACCAAGATTTGCAAATTTGCCACTGGTGCCCTGTGCTCTTCACAGATGAAAGCAGGTTCACACTGAGCACATGTGACAGATGTGACAGGGTCTGGAGACGCCGTGGAGAACATTCTGCTGCCTGCAACATCCTCCAGCATGACCGGTTTGGCAGTGGGTCTGTAATGGTGTGGGGTGGCATTTCTTTAGGGGGCCGCACAGCCCTCCATATGCTTGCCTGCCATTAGGTACCGAGATGAGATCCTCAGACCCCTTGTGAGACCATATGCTGGTGCGGTTGGTCCTGAGTTCCTCCTAATGCAAGACAATGCTAGACCTCATGTGGCTGGAGTGTGTCAGCAGTTCCTGCAAGACGAAGGCATTGATGCTATGGACTGGCTCGCCCGTTCCCCGGACCTGAATCCAATTGAGCACATCTGGGACATCATGTCTCGCTCCATCCATTGCACCACAGACTGTCCAGGAGTTGGGGGACTGTCCAGGTGTGGGAGGAGATCCCTCAGGAGACCATCCGCCACTTCATCAGGAGCATGCCCAGGTTTTGTAGGGAGGTCATACAGGCACGTGGAGGCCACACACACTACTGAGCCTCATTTTGACTTGTTTTAAGGACATTACACCAAAGTTGGATCAGCCTGTAGTGTTTTTTTCCACTTTAATTTTGAATGTAACTCCAAATCCAGACCTCCATGGGTTGCTAAATTTGATTTCCATTGATAATTTTTGTGTGATCTTGTTGTCAGCACATTCAACTATGTAATGAACAAAGTATTTCATAAGAATATTTCATTCATTCAGATCTAGGATATCTTATTTTTGTGTTCCCTTTATTGTTTTGAGCAGTGTATATACATATATACACACATACACATACACACCACACAAACATACACACACACACACAACACACACACACACACATTAAGAATTCAGTCCTAGATTCTGAAAACAGAATGGAATGTGACAAGGCAGCTAAACTGCTATTTCTACAATAGGCCGTCTGGACTGCAATATTTAGAATATGCTCTGGTGAAGTTACATTCCTGCATTCAGTATGATTCAAAATCTCATAGATAATTTATTATTTCCCAAAGAGGTTTTTAAGGCTGTTATCCCACACTGTTCTCTTGGAGGCTCATATCAAGAGCTCAGGCTCTTGATACGAGGTATCTGTCTAAGCATTTCCTATATATTTACCTTAGAAGGAATGTCGCAGCATCTATCTCTGCTGGTCCAAACCGCATTGCACACCATGTCAAAGCTCTGTATATCAAACTACAAAGCAGAAATGGAAGTGCATTTAAAGTTATATCTGAATTAATCTTCAAGTACAAAATCATGCAATTTAAACAAAATAAAACATTGTCTTTCTTTCCAGTGCCAGTAAAGTATCATTCCTGTTACCACATCAATGACATTAAGACAGGAAACTAAGAAAATGGTCACAAAGTAGTTTACTTCATGTCTCTGTGATATTTCACATGGCTCCTATAAAACCAGATTAATTCTAATCAAATGCATGAATAGCTTCGGGGAAACGCTGCCTAAAAAACTATCGGACATGAGAGGCCAGAGTCCTGCAATTATTTAACAGTTTAAAAAAAATTAGAAAGGGCCTGCCCTAATGGTTCTAGCAGTTAAAACTAGTAGGCAGGAAGCAGTACTTTCAGATTTGCAAGATTCTGTAAATGTAGCCTTACAATAAAGTAGATTTAGCTTACATAATTGTGTTTCCAGTCTGGTTTATCTGGGAAGACCGACGTTAATGCATAACCCAACCTTCAACTTTAAGAGCTCTGCCACTTATATAAAATAATAGGCAGCCCTTCCCCTGTTTCCTTCTTGACACACAAATTTTTCTTGCCCATTCACTTTTCCAAACTTGCTCATAAGCATACAATCTGTCTGACTCCAAAACCATTTCTCTTGAGAGGCTGCTAATGGGATGGCTGAAAAGAAAACTTGAATTCTGAAGCTATTATCAAAAGGAGAATTTCAAAAGCTTTTCTTTCACCAGGGTATCAAAAATCAATTATTTAGCACAGTACACCCTAAATCCCAGCAAGTAACTAAAACTTCATTTCATGACATACACTTTGGGCTAGATTGTGTGATACATGAAATGAGAGATAAAGAATATGACAAACAGGGAGTGGGGACAACGACAAGCACAGGAGGACCATGCTATAAAGATGCATTTCATCCCACTTTAAGGCAGTAGGGAAAAATCATTTCCAAAGTATCTAAGAACCACAAAGTATTTTTTACTGTTTGTTATATATTATCACTCATTTTCTGTTGATCTTGTGGGAGGGATAGCTGTGTACAGAACAAGAGACACATATAGCAAAATCATTATTGTGGAGGTGCTATATGTAACACTACCCAACCTTATGCCTTCCAAATATATTAAGACTACAGTATTCAGAATTCTCAAGAAGTATGGCCACTGACTGATATGTTTATCATTAGCAATGAAAGTTACTTAAAATAATAAACATATTGTTCCCAGCCAAAGACTTTGTGACTCTTATGACTGAGTCACGCAACTGACTCAGAGGTTGATGCTACTAAAAGAGAAGTTCTGTTTCTATTCTAAGCCAAATATTGTGGGAATACTTTGAAGAACATGAGGGAACTTTGATGGAAGCCAGCAGTCTGCATATAATCTATATACTCTATTTGAACTCAGACAACTGAGAAGTTTTCTATCAAATTTTTAGAGCTGCAGCTTTTGGATAATATGGAACTCTGAAACTCAATGCATTTATTTAAAATGTTTGTATCCTGCTTTAATTGGCTTTAAGCAGCAAACAGGATACGGAAAACAAATATATCAGCATTATAACAATATTTATATAAGAGTAATAATAACAATCGTAATAATCAGTATCATAATAGATTAACCTCCAACTCAGGTATATGTTTTCTCCCTCTTCACTCCTCTTAGCTAAAAAACTCGTTTTTAAAAAGAATATTGGGGATTGAGGAGTGATAAGAGCTGGGGTGGCACAGGGGTTAGAATGAAGTACTGCACGGCTAACTCGCTGCTCACTCCAGGAGTTCAATTCTGAGCAGGTCAAAGTTGATTCAGCCTTCTATCCTTCCAAGGTTAGTAAAAATGGGGACCCACATTGGGGCGAATAGGCTGACTCTGTAAACCTCTTAAGAGAGAGCTGTAAAGTACTGTGAAGCGGTGTATAAGTCTAAGTGCTATTGCTATCTTCAATATCAGGAGCCAGGATGCAAATCTTATTTTGGGTGGCAAGACATTCCATAATACAAGAGCTCTGACAGGGAATTCTCATTTCTATATTTGTTCCCACCTCACCCAACATGGGTTGAGGATCGTGAGTGATGGTTTGAAAAACCACTGAAAAATCCTACAAAAGGAGACTCACTCCCTTATCTAAGCGACCAGTGTGGTTCTATCCCATATAATCAACCTTAAGTCTGTCTGACAAAAATTGAGATAATCCATATTTTCTAGGGTCTCTTAGGTGGGGCAGCTGCCCACTTTTAACAACTTTCTCTAAAAACAGAGGTTTGGAGATTGGTTATAGCCAGAATAGTTGGGTTAGTTAGCCTGCTCTACAAGCAGGTGGTGTACCAGTACCCACTTCAAGGACATCAACATTGGCCAAGTTGCAATGGCTGCCGGACAGAGCTTTTACATGAAAGGATGGGAGAGAAGGGAACAAATCTTTTTAATCAGAGATCATATCAGGTTTCGATCAGGAAGTGCTGTAAGTATGAACCTTGGCAAGTTGTGTGTGAGGAGGAGATTCTGAACAAGAGAGTAAGAAGAAATTTAATCTCATCTCCTAATAGGCTTACCGCCCATGACTTGAATGAGACAATTGTTGTGATAAAGATATGTTGTGATATCTTTAATAAAGATTTTAAAATTTAATTTAGAAAAAAGTACTACTTACTGGTGCTGTTTTCTTATCACCTTTCTGTAATTTACCAAGGATTTCATAGCCATCGGTTGTGATATTTCCAGCTTCCTTAATAGGCTTTTCCATAATTTCAACACAGTCAATATAAATCTTAGCACTTGTGGATGTTATAACAAGATGAACCTACAGAAAAAAATATTGAGGGGAAGCATAACAAAAAAAAACCTGTTAATTCTTCATGGTTTTAGAAGTAAATAAACCTTTTAGTCCAAATCATAGTTAACTGTATACAGAAATTGTCCAAAATCATGAAGGCAAAGAGGCATAAATACATAAGTTTTCTTTATCTATATGTAAAAGTGTCCTTTTTAATGGAAGTGGCAGCTCCATCCATGCACTCCATTGAAATGTATTCCAGATAATAAAGAAGCAGTGACTTAACAACTTCTGTCTGCACTCAGCTTTGGAATAGGTCTGGATAAGGGTGGGATAATCTATGCAAGATATACTAAGAACGAATGCTACCAAGGAGTGCATAAATACAACACTAACTAATGATAAAGACATAAAGACTATAAGAAATTTTTTGTTGTCGCAGCTGTTGCTTGTTCCAAGTTTATTTTTCCATAACCAGTAAAGTTTGCAAGACTAATCCTTCCAAAACTCTCTCCTATTCATAGAAACTGAGCGGCAGAAATGAAATGGAATGGAAATGACATTTTCCATTTTTTTTATAACACTAGACTAAAAATGTAAAATAATATTTTTACACATTTTTGAAAAACTTTCCTATTATTAAATACCATCATTCTGTCAGACATCCCTTTCCAAACGTACAGAGAGAAAAATGACTAATTGTGCTTATATAGTATATTAGTATGAATGAAAATATCAAAATTATTTTCACTATATTTTTGCAAGCTTTGTAACAACAACCGTCTTCATACTGTATATCTGATACATTTTGGAATTGAGGAATATCTGGTAGAGGCCTTGTTAGGATAAAAAAATATTCTTTCCTTAGAATCTATATAGAACAAATACTATGAGACCCACCAGATGCTGAGTAATACATCTTTTTAAATTTATTTATAATCATACAGCTTTAAACTCAAGGTATACCTTACTTATTATAATAGACCTGGATCAGCAGGAAAGCACATAACTAAATTTTAAAAAATATTTGTGAAACAAAAAAATTTCAGTGAGTTCAGATTCAATATGTATGTATTCAGAAATAACTTTAATTATGATTAATGGGATTCACTCAGTATGACCAAAATCACAACCTATTATATCATACATTAAAATACTACAAGAATTTTAATCTGTCCTAACTATTGTGATTGTTTGTGTCTTGTGTGTCTACCTGTCTTGTGTGTTTGAATCTGTTACTGTATAGATTATAATATCTCTTTAAACTCTGTTTATTATGGTATAATAAAATATTAATAGCATCTTCTGCTATAGACTAATGATTAACTGCTGAACAACTTCAACCCGAACTGAACAGAGCAAATGAAGTGAAGATTGTTTTTTTAGCTTAAAGGTTGCTACAGAGAGGGGAGAGGGAGGGAGGGAGAGAGAGAGGGAGAGGGAGAGGGAGGGAGGGAGGGAGGGAGAGAGAGAGAGAGAGAGAGAGAGAGAGAGAGAGAGAGAGAGAGAGAGAATAGCATATAACTGGAGCTTCTTTGAATTGGGTTTGTGGACTAGTTTGTTATCTTGTAAAAATACTGCCATCAAATAGCAAATAGAATAAAATAAATGGCTGGGTAGGAAAATTATGACGGGACTGGAGAAAGTTTTCCAAAGTTAATGCTACTCCTAAGCATGAACCACAAACTCTTTTATTTGCTCCCTAACACCAAAAAAAACCAGGATGGGTCCACTGCTGAGTATCTGCAAATCTCATCAGATCTGGAACTTAACTCATTTCATTTATTTTCAATCTCTCAGGTAGTAAACAAGGCCAATTCTAAGATTTAAAAATGTATATACCTAACATACTCAGCAGGTAAGAATAGTCATGGGATAGCAGCTCATTTTGCAGGCATGAAAATGGCATCTAGACTAAAAATAGTCTTCTATCCATTCTTTTTCCTTTTGAAGGAATAAGGCAAAAAGAAAAGTGTTGAAACAATTTAAAATTTTCCTTCTACTAAATTATTATCTTGTTTCCTAGGTTAATCAGTTCCTTCTTTTACTAGTCCTCCATTTTTAAAAAATGGCAAGGATGACTTCGCAGAAGACTCTTGCCATGTAGTTTGTCCCATTAACGGCAAATCAACAAACATAAAACATAAAACATCTGTTTTTATAAGAGTTCCTTGACAAGATGTTAACTAGGCCAACATTTTCCCCAAGACTTTCATTATAGCCAAAACTCAAACTAGTATGCCAAAGCAAATGTTTCGCAAAGAGCCAAGTTAGCTATTTTTCAGTGAATGGAAATGCAATGCACTGAATTAACACCACATTATACTCTGGCAAGATATTCCAGCAGAATTCATTCATCTGTAGAACTGTGATAAACAAATCCTTAGAGGCCATCTACGATTCTCTACTTCTGCCACTCTGCTTCAAACTGAGCTATCCTCCTGGTGCACAATACTCTTTTCTCCCATAACAACTTTCACATACTTCCTTTCAGAGATGGCTCTGGACTTGCCCTTCAAAAAAATATAAACAATGCAAATATCTAAGCGCTATGTGTACATGGGACTGGTATGGTCACACTCACATATGGATAAAAACCTGCTTATCATTGAGTATGTATATTAGATAATTTTTAATTTTCACTGAACATTGTCCAATGGTTCAATTAGAGAAATATGTAACTGGTTAAACAACAAATTAAGACAATGTGCTGAGTTGTGCTAATAATAATCAGAATATATGAAATGTGAGTTAAGCATCCTGATTTCTGTAGTTTAAAGCAGTTCTGAAAACTTTCTCTTATTTTCAAACATGCTTGGAGATTAACCATCCAATCCCATATATAAGGAAAAAACCATGGTGGTTCAGTGGTTAGAGTGAAGTACTGCAGGCTACTTCTGCTGACTACCAGCTGCCTGCAATTTGGCAGTTCAAATCTCACCAGGCTCAAGGTTGACTCAGCCCTCCATCCTTCTGAGGTAGGTAAGTTGAGGACCCAGATTGTTGGGGGCAATAAGCTGACTCTGTAAACCACTTAGAGAGGGCTGTAAAGCACTGTGAAGCGGTATATAAGTCTAAGACACTATGGCTATAAGGAAAGCCAATGATAAAAAATATTTATTGACTTACTGATAAGCAAATGTATATTGTTACATTTACCATCTAGGCATGCTATGACCGTGTCAACTTCTAATGGTAGTCCTGGCTGCAATAATTAAGCAAATAACCCATTGTAATTAAATGCAATGTCACATGATCATCAGTTGATCAATTCTCAACAAATTCTCAACAAATGAAATAGCAAACATGTGGAAAACTCTTAAAAACATCACTGGCTTCAGCAAACCTCCTTCCCAGGCAGAAGGAAATCAACAACTAGCAGATGACCTGAATGTGTTTTACTGCAGGTTTGAAAAGAAACTACAGCCACCTATCTCTACAACCCACATCTCAAACACACCAACAGCCAAGCCTCCTACAACTGACCCCAATCCATTGGGCTCACAACCTCTGGTGATCACAGAAAAAGAAGTGCAAGATCTATTACACAGACAGAAGCCAGGAAAAGCACCAGGGCCAGACAAGATAACTCCTTCTTCCTTAAAAGTCTGTGCTGACCAATTGACCCCCATGTTCACCCAAATCTTCAATAGATCACTAGAGATGTGCTATGTTCCTTCCTGCTTCAAACGTTCTACCATCATCCCAGTGCCAAAGAAGCCCTCCATCAAGGAACTGAATGACTACAGACCAGTTGCTCTAACATCTGTAGTTATGAAAATCTTTGAAAGGCTTGTGCTGTCCCACCTGAAAACCATCACGGATCCACTGTTAGATCCCATGCAGTTTGCATACTGAGCAAATAGATAGACAGATGATGCTGTTAACATGGCTCTGCATTTCATCCTAGAACACCTTGAATCTCCAAATACCTACCAAGGGTCCTCTTTGTAGACTTCAGTTCAGCATTCAATACCATCATTCCAGACACTCTTGTAAGTAAATTAAACCAACTAGCGGCACCTGAACACACTTGTAAGTGGATCATAAGCTTCCTAACATACAGGAAGCAGCAGGTGAAGCTAGGCGGAATCACATCCGATACCTGTACAATCAGCACAGGGACCCCCCAAGGCTGTGTGCTATCTCCACTTCTCTTCTCCCTATATACCAATGACCGCATCTCAAACGATCCATATGTTAAAATACTGAAGTTTGCTGATGACACAACAGTGATTGGTCTCTTCGAGACAACGATGAATCTGCATACAGACAGGAGGTTATACAACTTGCCTCGTGGTGTAATCGGAACAATCTGGAACTGAACACACTCAAAACCATAGAAATGGTGGTAGACTTTAGAAGAAACCCTCCCATACTACCACCTCTTACAATACTAGACAACACAGTATCAACAGTAGAGACCTTCAAATTTCTAGGTTCTACTATATCACATGACCTAAAATGGACACCTAACATCAAAAACATCATCAAAAAAGCACAACAAAGAATGTTCTTTCTGCGTCAACTCAGAAAGCTCAAACTGCCCAAGGAGCTGCTGATACAGTTCTACAGAGGAATTATTGAGTCTATCATCTGCACCTCTATAACTGTCTGGTTTGGTTCTGCAACCCAACAGGACAGACACAGACTTCAGAGGATAATTAGGACTGCAGAAAAAAGCAATTACTACCACCTGCCTTCAATTGAGGACCTGTATACTGCACGAGTCAAAAAGAGGGCTGTGAAAATATACAGACCCCTCACATCCCGGACATAAACTGTTTCATCTCCTTCCCTCAAAACGAAGCTATAGAGCACTGCACACCAGAACAACTAGGCACAAGAACAGTTTTTTCCTGAAAGCCATCATTCTGCTAAACAAATAATTCCCTCAACACTGTCCAACTATTTACAAAGTGTACACTACTATTACTGTTAATCTTCTCACCACTCCTTATCACCCCTCCCCTCCCACTTGTGATTGTAGGACTGTAACTTTGTCGCTTGTATCCATGCGATTTATATTGACTGTTTCCTAGTATGATTTGATTGCTTATTGTATCCTATGACTATCATTAAGTGTTGTACGTTATGATTCTTGATTCTTAACGAATGTACCTTTTCTTTATGTATACTGAGAGTATTTACACCAAGACAAATTTCTTGTGTGTCCAATCACACTTGGCCAATAAAGTATTCTATTCTATTCTATTCTATTCTATTCTATTCTATTCTATTCTATTCTATTCTATTCTATTCTATTGTGACTTTCTGTCAGCTTCCTCATTAACTTTGCTTGTTGAAAGCCAGCCGTGAAGGTCACAAATGATGATCACGTGATTGTGGGCTGCTGCAGCTACTGTAAATGCATGCCAGGTGCCAAGGACCTGAATTGTGATCATATGACCACATGGACACTGCAACAGCCATAATATAGAGGATCAGTTGCAGGTCTCCTTTTTCAATGCCATTGCAACTTCCAACAGTCACTGAATGAGTGGTTGATAAACAAGGACAAGGACAAGTTAATATACCCTTTAAATATAATGGAATTTGTTTCAGAGTAAAATTGAGCATTATATAAGATATTTCAGTATGCATTCAAACCAATTAATTGAAAATATTATTTGCTTTAAGGGTATTTATAAATCATTTTTATCTCTCTATATACCTATTGACTACCAGAGTGGTTTTATTTGCTTTGAAAATGACTTTCTTATTCATAATAATCTACAGAAGATGATTTTACCTTGTGGAAACTTCCATAAAAGAGTTTCTTTATTTCATCACCTTCAAATGCTACAGTCTGAATTTCTCCTCTTGTGTCCTTGTTAAAGAATGATAGCACTTTGCTAGAAGCTAGGGAAAAATACATTATGTTAACGATACGGTTAGCACATTATAAGACTATCTAATAATGTTTCAAATTAATTCCAAAAGTTGATTGAAATCACAAGATATAGAAACGTAGTACCTGTCTCTAATTTTTAAAGCAGCTGCACCTTTTCATGGTAGCTCAAAGCAGCTCCTTAATCTATCCATACCCATTTCCAAACCTGATTCATAACACTATTTATAAGACTATTCAGGGAGATTCCTTTTTACCAATTCCTTAATTAGGATTGCTATATAACTAACTTTAAAAAAATACTGTTAGAATGGCTGTTAAAACAAACATTATGGAACTTGCTAGTAACACAAGATTATTAGTATTAATTTTATGATATTAAAAGACTAACAAAGTTAAAATCAAGGTTTTTTTTAAAAAAAAAATAATTCTAAGCCGTTGAATCACTTAACAATTTTGGGTATTGTATTCCCTACAAATATAGTTCTATGTCAGAGCATAAGTCATTCAGTCAACTAATTCTGGTAATCCAAAATGTTGCTTTGAAATGAAACAAGGAATTGAGATGCTTAATGCAACACGAAGAGAGAACATGAGAGAACATGAAAGGAAACGTCTTGCAATTTTCAACCTGCCAATTATTGAGTCAAAACCTGCATGCCATGTGGAAGAATCATGATTTATGGCAAACTGAAGGAAGGCTTCTCCAATATAAATATGAAAGTGGAACTTCCTAGTATCTTTATTCTTTAAACATATAAGTAGAACAGTATCAACTAAAGTAATACTTGGTATCTACTGATACATTCACAAATGCTATCAAACCTTACTGCTATTCCAGCAGCTACACAAAGGAGAGCCTGAGATAACACTTAGACAAAACTTTTTTTCTTCCCCAAAATTATTTAGAGTTCAAGTAAGGTTACTATAAGTTCTTTCTCTAAATTAATTTGTTGCTTCCTAATTCCCTAAAAAGGTACACCTTTTAAATTCAGATCAAAGCATTGGCTGAATTGTTTCACATAAAGATTGCATTAAATAACTGTGGCTTGGCAACTCACAACCCACCTAAACATTATACAACTTGCATGTCAATGGTAAATTAGTTGCAATCTGCCTGCAATCTGTTCAACTAATTTCTGATACTAAATAAACTATGTCAGAGTAAAATTTTACTATTTTACTATGTAGAAATATTTTGAAATATTCAAAAAATAAAACATCATCTATCCATTTTATTCACATATTCAGTCCATAGTTCACGGGGAGAGGGGTCTTACGATCAAGAACAACTCCAACTTGTGGTTTGTAATCTCTGTCAGTTATCTGCCAAATTGCAAATGGTTCATTTGAGGTTTCCGAGAGAAGACGGAATAAAAATATGATTGTGTAAGCCTTTGATAATCCATCTGGATGAATATCCCTAATAAAGAAAGCAGAGACATATTCCTCACCAAAAAATACGTGATTAAAACAGTGAAATGAGCAACATATAAATTTAATAAATAAATAACATTTAATCTTAGTCACGGTTAATAAGATTGTGTGAAAGTCAAATGTTGTTTAATAAACAGCGCTCAAGATTCTTGCTTGATCACTCATCCCCATAAAAGAGTATCTAAAGACTCAAAAGCAGTTCATCTTCATATATAAAGAATTAAACTTTTTCTCCTGCAAAAGACAGAAAGGCTAATTTAAATCCTCCATATTATTCAGTGTGTTTATAAGTCAGGTCTTCCTTCAAACCCACTGAAAGTTATTGTGAAAATATGCTAGAATTATATTTAAAGCTAAAATTTCATCAAGCTGAAATCTGGTGAAATTTTCTTCTGCGGTAGGAGAGGGTGCGTGAAGAAGGATAGCAGTGATCATAGTATCAACAAAAGATTATTAAATAACAAGATTTTTCATTTTAAGATTAAGGATAAACTTGTATGAGTATCATTGTGCACCAAGGATGACAGCAAGAAAAACGTCTGGAGGAAGAGACCAGCAGCATTGGGAATGCAATTAAAAGAGAAATATGGTAAGATAGAAGAAATAAAAAAACTTTTATAGAACTACCCAAACACAGTATTATTTAGATTGACAATGGTTCTTCTCAGATCTCCAATGATTATTGTTTGAGATATTCCTTAATGCAAATGTTATTACTGAGAAGGCTTTGGGAGTGTTTGCCTGGACTATAAATGGGGAATTCAAGTAAATCAGACACTAATATTAGAACTCTTCTTTGCAGGTAATTACTGCCATCATTGTACTCTGGATGAGAAGCAGAAAGGCTTGGAGATGTCCCTGTCAAATCTTGAGTAGAAAAATACACTCAATCATACACCCTCTATAAGGGCTATAATTAAAACCTGCCCTAAAGCTTCAGTTATTCCATAACAGAGTCTCTAATGGGATAGGTTCACTTCTTCATAAGAAACCAATTCTTTTAACAGCTGTTTCCAATTAATTTCTGGCCATTAAGTTTTAGCGTTGGCCATTAAAGCTTCAAGTGTGCTGGCTGGAGAATTCTAGGAGTTGAAGTCTACGTATCTTAAAGTTGCCAAGGTTGAGAAACACTGACATAAAGGGATATTTTCTTTCCTATGCATATGCCAAAACAAACAGTCTTCAAAGCTGAATATGGTGCAAATGCTTAGGCAGGTGGCTACAAGAAAGACGTCCTTCTCAGTTGCAGTTCATAATGAAATGCCATCTTGAAGAAGGTTTACCTGTTAGCCACCTTATTGCTTTTTTTTTTCCAGTGCCAGTTAGCATTACTCTTTGTACCAGATATTTTAGGATTTAAGTCCCAGACTGTAAATAATTTTAACGCATTGCATAGAGTAAACTATTTATGTATATTTCCTATACTGATTTTTTTTACTTCATCCTGCTTATGAGAGATTCCAAAAGGGTGTATACATACACACTTCTGTCTTTGTATGTATCTTGTAGTCTGTGTTTTTATTTCTCATCATTCATTGTTAGCAAGGATTCAGCATTCAGCACTATCAATCCTATGTCCAGTATAACCACCATCTAGTCAATTTTCCGCAATTAGAAAAGGCTTGAGGGGGGGAGTAATATACTCACACAGTAGGCTGGCTAACAAAAGCATTTTTATGAAGCCTGTATGACACGTAGCTTGGGAAAGATCCTGACTGCAAGGAAACTCCAGGTACTGAAGCAAAATATTTTTCTGTTAAATTGTAAGCTTCCAGCATTCTGAAGCCTGTATGTCAGAAAAAGGAGAAAACAGAAAGAACAATGGTGGGATTTAGAAACAGTGTGAAGTAATACATTTCTAAACTGGAATATTCATGTGTTATTTCTTACCAGGAGAAGTGTATCCATCTAAGTACATGAGAGGACAAGCTGGAAAAAAAAAGAAACAGATACAGCATGAATGAGCACTGGCATTGTTACTAGAAGCCCACAGCTGCCTGCAAACAAATGTCCTCCATAGATGCAGAACTACAAATACCACCAATATTAGCTTTCTTCAATATGGTTATTGATTTATTTACTTAATATATGGTGCATCATACCTGGACCAGCAATATATATTAACATTTCACTTAGATTAATAAAACACAATAAAAATATTTAAAAGATTTATGTTCAAATACCAAGCTCTAGGCCAGGGCTCTCCAATCGTGGCAACTTTAAGACTTGTGGACTTAAGTCTTAAAGTTGCCAAGATTGGAGACCCCTGCTCTAGGCTATCTCTTCTAACCCCTGCCTGTTAGAAACTGGGCCATGGAAGCGGCACAGTTCACCTGCACATGTGCGGGATTCTAGGTTGCGCTCGAAACCATCCCCTCCCCGGTCCAAGGAAAAAATGTCTCCCACGAAACTGGTCTCTGGTGTCAGAAAGACTGGGGATCACTGATCTAATCATTTAAGTGCAGCATTGTTTATATCTTTTTTTAAAAAAAAATCAGATACTGTACCAGTGTATACTCTCAGCTTACAGCTGGTCATGATGTGATCTACAGTTTTACCTCGCAGTGACACTGAGGAGAGGATACTATGCCCCATTTATACAGAGAGTCCTGGCAGATGCCACGTGGGTGCGAATCCCATTCCGGATTATCCATTGCTAGCATGGAAGTTCAAAGTCTGGCACCTTTTTTGTGGAGTAATTTGTATGTCTTCCTATGCCTGGGCATTCAGAGACTCATTTGTCTTTCCATTGGGAATTGATTATTAAAATTGTTGGGGTGATATTGTGCAAGTGCCAATTTCCTGAATGTGAGTCTTCCAGCTGATAAATAAGGAAGGTCAGCATGCACAGGTAGGAGTGAGTTGTTCATAATTTTTCTGTATTCTCTCACTAGTACCTTTTGCCTTCGTAAAGTTGGTAGTGCTATATGGCTCAGAACAAGAAGCTGGCAAATCTGAGTGGTTTTAATACATCTGCTTATAATCCTCATGGTGTCATTGACTCTGGCATCTAACTTACTAGTATGGCAGCTGATAAGCCATACATACAACTCCACAGTATTCTGCTATGGAATTTACCAACCTTAATGCTGATGACCTGAGGGTGGCAGCTAAAGCTCTACATTTGATTCCACATAATTTCTGGAGTATGTTGTTTCTAGTTTTGATTTTTGCTGCCATATTCTCTGTAGGAGAGTCTCTGGTCCAATGTTACTCCAAGATACTTTGGATGAGAATCATAGGGAAGTAAGTTGTTGTTTAAGTTGAGCTTCATATGCTAGTTTGTGGTTAAATTTGTGGAAGCACGTAATTACTTTTTTGCTGGTGCTAGGAGCGAGCCTCCAGTCAGTGAAGAATTTTCCAAGATTTTAAGATCTTTTGGAGAAGGCGGCTGTCTGCCATCTCCATGTATTTTTGTTTTGTACTGCTATGGCCAAGTCATCAGTGTATTCAAATTTGCATCCCTTTGTTGCCAGTATATCTGATATGGGTAAGTTGAATAGTGGAGGTGCTATTACCGACCCTTGTCGGAGGATGTTGTTTAATCTTAACTTATATTGCCCCCCACTCCATTATTATCTGAAAGGACCTATGTTAGTAATTAGCCAACAGAGTTTTTTGCAAGGAGTAATATGGCACAATTTGTGTGCATGCCGCAGTTAGGTCTACAAACTCAGCTGTGGATTTTAGGCCTCGCCAGAATCCTGTTTAATATAGCTTATTAGGCTTAGCATCTGGTAAGCCTTCTATATAGTAATTCTGGTTGATATGTTTTGTAGTCAAGATTTTTTTTCAAGGCACCAGGATAAGGAAGTTACTACTAGGAAGTTTTCAAGGAGAAGTTAGGTTTATATATTAACAATTGCTTTTTATCAGGGTCACACATCTATCTATTTCTATTTCCATTCCCATCACCATCTGCAATGATCTATGTATTTATCTACAGTATTCTGACAGATTCCTCAATATAGACTATGACTAAGTTTCTCCTTCAGAGACAAGCAACGCAGAAATTCAGAAAAATGCCTGAGAAAGAGATAGAACCTCCCTGGTTCAACTCAATGTTCTGCTCTCTGTTTTAACTCAAAATATGTCATTAGACAAGCTACTCTATTTTGGCTAAAAGCTCCAAGATAAGGACAGCATGGAATGTTAATATGGACTAAGGGTTATGTTCTCATGTTAATGCTCATTTTAGGAAAAAAGCAAGCTGACTTCTAAAGAGTCAGAACTTTAGTCCCTCAACCCTCAAAAGTCACTAATGATCATTAGTGGTTTTCCAAGGTTTTCTATTAGCATCATTCCAAGCTCAATTTGGATATGCAACGGTTATGCTTGAAAATTCCTACATGCAAAGCACATATATCACTACTGATTCTTCCTTTTTGATTGTATAAGAGCAAGGACAAATATATTTTCCTTAATAAATTACTAGATACGTTTTCATTATGTTTTACACTGAATGAAATAGGTTAAACCATCCTGAAAAAAAGAGAGAGACTATTTTACTCACTTGAGGTAGCTGTCTCACAAATGAAAGTGATAAGGTTATCTTCAATCTTCTCAAAAGCATCAAAGTCATCAACTATAAAGACATGACGTTCGCTCGGCTGACTTGCCATTTTGGCTAGTTCATGGTAATCAACATCAGCTACACCAATAACAAATACACTGAAACCTGCAAAGACAATAACAATGGTTGAAATAATATGGACCTGGGAAGTTTCTCCAAGTTCTTCTAAGAAAACAAAACAAAACTCAGTGACCAATCCTATTAGGGCAACAACCTGATACTGCCCAGGTATGTGGAGATTACAACTCTCAGGGAAGTCTTAGGGAGGAAGTCTAAGCTGCATTACCAAAACTAAGAGGCAGACTGGTGTGGTGTAGTACAAGGGTGAAATTCAATTTTTCCCCCCTACCGGCTCTGTGGGCGTGGCTGTGGGCATGGCTTGATATACTTGGTATACTAGTAATAGCAACCAGGGGCGATTTTTTTAACCAATTCAAATTGTCCCAACCAGCTCACCCGAGGTGGGATGAGGTGGTTGAATTTCACCCCTGGTGTAGTGGTGGAGTTGCTGATGTAGAAACCAGGAGACTGTGAGTTCTAGTCCCACCTTTGGCATAAAAGCCAGTTGTGTGGTTTTGGGCTTATCACATGTTCTCTCTCTACTCAACCCACCTCACGAGGTTGTTGTTGTGGGGAAATAGGAAGAGGAAGGAGTATTAGATATGTTCACTGCCTTGAGGAATTTATAAAGTAATAAAAGGCAGGGTAAATAGTGGAAATATATACAGAGATATGCAGTACGGGTAGTCCTCGACTTATAACCGGCTGCTTAGTGGCTGTTCAAATATGATGGGCTTCCCAAAGAACTTACAACCTCATTCTAAGGTTCCTACAGCCACCATCACCTCCTCAATTTTATGGCCATTTGTAGTGCCTTGCAGTCATGTGACCAGAATTTACATTTTTGCCAAAAAATCACATTTACTTCAGGTTTGCAGCAAAAAGACTCCATAATGAATAATGGGTTTCTTAATGACCATGTATTTACTTAATGACTGCCTCAAGTACAAGCAGTAAATTGGGTTGGTCACATGATGCCCTACATTATGACCATCTTGATTTACAACCATAAAAGGCAGGCTCCGCTATAACCATAAGCTGAGGATTTACCTGTATTTCAAGCACTCTAAACAATGTACTAGTTCAGGCACAAGTGGCTATGAAGCACTCACAGTCCGAACTGTATATATTCCAGTCAATCATGATACAGAGCCTCATATTTGATAAAGACTGAAGAATTATGCTCCCATTAAATCCCGCCATCTAAATGTGTCTCACCAGACTGCTGTATGACAGCTGCAGCTTTCATCACTTCATCTTGTGATCGACCATCTGTTACGACAACCAGGACTTTGGGAACTCCTTTCCTCATGCCTCTTTCCCAGGTAAGCACCTTTTCTTTGATAAATGCAAGTGCCTTTCCTGTGAATCAATAAACAGTTTCATTTAGATCGTCCACCTAAAACCACTACTTTGGGGGGACAGGGACTAACACTGGAATACATTCTAAGTTAAAACCTATGCAGTAATAATATGAGAAAACCTACCCCTTGAAACTAATATTCAGAAGTTGTACAAAATTACCTGTTTTTGTGTTCCCTCCTCTGTATTGAATATACTGAAGAGCTCCCAGGGCCTGGGCCTTTTCATCATATGTATTCAAGTTGAACTCAGATTTTGGATCATCACTGTATTGCACAAAAGAAACCTAAAATAAAAAAAACCACCCAAAAATGTAATGTTATATTGTTAAAGAAAATACAGTTCAATAGTTCATATTCTATAATCTTGTATATCTTGGACATGTGTAAATCTTACACATATACAAGTACATCCTTCTTGTTAGTAATAATTATGGGTTTTTTAAAATGTGCTTGACTTCTTTTTCTAATTATTTAGAGAATTATTGTAATAGGACTATTTAAAAGGTAAAGAAGAAAAAGTAAGGGAAGAGGGAAGATATGAAAAGGCTCTTAACTTTTTCACTTTTGTCACAGGTGATAGGATCTTTAAAACTCAAATTGCCATATTATAACTGTACAGTATTTACTTGAAAGATATCGTGCAAAAAAAATATCGATTTATCTTGGTTAATATTTAAGAATTGACTAACCTGAATTCCAGATGGATTTACTAGGTCAAATGCCCCAATCGTGTTGAAAACGAATTTCACTACTTTGTTGAAATTTTCATCTCCAATACTCCAAGAAGCATCAGTGAGGAAGACTATATCAGCTTTGGCTCCCTTGCATACTAAAAGATACATTGGATTCAGAAATAATTCAGAAGTTGCAGCACAATGAAAAAAATAGCATGTAATAACAGGAACTTTTCAATGTGATAGCCATTTGTCTAAAATGGTATAGGGTCCTTTAAAGTCCCTAAGGACTAGAAGTCCATTAAGGTCCCTAAATGGTCCCTAAAGACTAAGATCCCTAAATGTTCTATAAAGTCCCTTCTAACTCTGTTATTCTGTTTTGCTATGCAAAAGTTTTCTGAAAAGCTTTCTCTATTTGGATTTATATAAAAGACATGTACCACAAATTTGTCCTCAAAACAAAATATAAAATGCTAAGTCGAATGCATACACAGAAAATAGAGGAATGATTAAATGCCTTTTTGAGCAGAACTTACTTCATTGTTTACAAGGTATCATTATGATAAATTATAGTTCTTTGAATCAAGATAAATCCCAGAACTCTTAATCCTGCAGAGTTTTTAGATCTTATAGACATCAAAAAGCAAATACTTACCATCCCGTGCAGGTGGGATTGTTGGAGGTGGAGGTGGCGTAGGTGGTTGTGTTGGAGGTTCAGTTGGCTTGATTACTAAAGGAAATCAATTAAAATGTATTGCATTTTCTTAAAAGGTGAGAAATAACATAAGTGGAACAAAGCTATAGTAAGCTGCTCCCTTGGCAGATCAGTTCTTAGAAATTTATCAATATGTTCCAGCAAAAGTTTGGATCCTCCTGTCTCCTAAACCAGTGGTCCCCAACCTTTTTTATGCCGCGGCCCGGTACCGGCATCAGCTGGGTGCCGCCATCTTGTTTTGATGAAAAAGTGCTTCCGGTGAGCTCACCGGAAGCACTTTTTCATCAAAACAAGATGGCGGCGCCCAGTGCTTCCGGTGAGCTTTTCCGGGTAGAAATGGCTTTCTACCCGGAAAAGCTCACTGGAAGCACTTTTTCATCAAAACAAGATGGCGGCGCCCAGCAAACCAGTGGCCCGGTAGGATTTGTTCCATGGACCGGTACCAGTCCGCGGACCGGTGGTTGGGGACCCCTGTCCTAAACTATAGCTCAAACATGTTTCAAGGACACTGAAGTCCAATCACCATGACCACTTATTACTAGAATTAGTAATCATCTAGTTCAAGGGTGTCAAACTCAGGGCCAGCAGACCAGATGCACCATGTGCTGATCATGCCCATGCCCAGTTTAGCGAAGGGGGGAAAAGTCACGATATGTCATGTGACACCACCGTGTTGATGCAAGTGTGACACCCCTGATGTAGTTCATCCTCCATAGAACACTAGTGGAGGATGAAGCATGTATATTGCTGAATGGTCTCTTCTGTTCCATCCTGTGCCCCTTCTCCATATGTTATCCTCAAGGACAGGATAGAAGATGGGATGGGTGAAAGATAAAACAGGAGGGGGATCATCTTCAATGTTCCTCATAACCTATCCTCCTCGCTCATGACTTATCTTGTATCTATAAAACTTAACCCTTTTGCCCTGCAAAAAAAGGTAAGAAATGGGAAAAGGTTGAAAAATATCAAATTCCTAACACAATAGACATAGGTCGCAAGGATTGTTGTCTCTTTTCAGGCTATTCAGCTTTACTGAGAAGAAATTCACACTGAGCAATTATAAGCAAATGTCATCTGCTATACAAGAAGTATTGTTTTAGCCAGAGTTTGTTAAATATTCCATAATGGCTTCATTTAAGTATAATACTGTATTAGGCGTGATGGACGATCTACTTATCATACAAAACCCTGAAACTCCCAGGTATGGTTTAGTTGCATGAACAAGGTAAGCAGAATGTGAAGATTGGAATCCAGCTGTTTTCTGAAATATTGGCAGTATGGTGAGTCACAAAAAATGCATATATTTTTTTTCAATTCATGAATGAGGGGAAGCTGGATTGTGTGGGGAAAAAATCCAGTTTTACTAAACCAATGGTATATTCAGAGAAAATTGCTTTCGTCATATTCTTTCCAGATTCTCTAAAGTTGTTTTGTTTTTGTTTTTGTGGTTCCTGTCATCTTGGACTTACATGTGCGTTCTTTTGTAGAGACTGGAGGACCTTCAAGATTTGGAGTCTGAACAAAGACAGTAGCATTATATTCGGTATCAGCTGAAAGCCCAGTAAAACAGTGACTGGTTTCTGATCCACGCACTGTTATTTCTTGACCTCTAGATCCTGTAAGCAAGTGAGAAGAAAAATGCTTAATTTGTAGGACCTTATGTACACATAACTGTTTGTAAGCAGTATGCAGTATAATAGCAATAACACCTAGACTTAATACCACTTCACAGTGCTTTACAGCCCTCTCTAAACAGTTTACAGTCAGCATATTGCCCCCAACAGTCTGGGTCTTCATTTTACCAACCTCGGAAGGATGAAAGACTGAGTCAACCTTGAGTCGGTGAGACTTGAACTGCTGAATGGCTGGAAGTTGGCAGTCAGCAGAATTAGCCTGCAATACTGCATTCTAACCACTGCACCAACACAGCTCTTCATGATATAATAACATGTCATGAAGAAGTGAAATTGTTATTGTCTACACCGAGGAGACAATAACTCTACGGGGAGATGGGGTTGTTTTTTATTTTTGTTTTTAATCTTCTAAACCATGGCAATTCTGCCTGTAGGCTGATGAATTGCCAGAATGTGAAAAAGACAAGGTATGAAATAGCTGACTTCTACAACAGCACAGAAAGAAAGAATAGCTTAGTAAGCAATATTCTTAATTATGATGCAGGAGAGTTAAATTTGATACTTGTTTTAATCTGCTTCAGAGTTCCTTAATGCTCATATATACCTCCTTTTTTCAAAATAAAACAGGAGATAAAAGTACTTTTGTCCTTGTAACATATTCTGCTTGTGCAACATTTCAAAATTATTTATTCATATTATGCAATACATAGGAAGCATTATTTGCAACAAGACATAATCTGTATTAATAAATTACTGAATTGTAACATTATGAAAAATTATAAACGAAGGATCATTTGGGGCAAAGTTTGTTCAAATCATGTCTATAACATTTATAATAAACTGATACAGGCATTTGATAATCATATGCACATTTTGAGTAATTGTGACAAATTCAGAAAGGCAGCAAGAATATGAAAGAAGAAACAGTTGTCCTGCAGTTGAAATAATGCCTCTTTTGCTGAAAACAATTTATTGACATTATTTATAGCATCTCCAATCCATGGAGATTTGGGTGATGAACAATGTAATTCAAATATGCTAAATAATTAAAAAAGGGTCAATGGAGTCATGACATGTAACCAATATTCATTTAAAACCATAATTACCATCGGCTGGATTTAGTTTCAGTCTGTAAGAAGAGGCAGACCGATGCGCCGACCATTTGATACAGAAAGTGTCCCATCCCACATTATAGCTTGTTAGATCTGTAACATTCAAGTACACTATGGAAAAGAAAAGGGGGAAAAAACTCATTAATCATTTGGGTGAAACCAGATAAAACTCTACAATTATGACATGTTTTTTCAGCACTAGGGTTACCAGATACCTGGCAAAAAGCAAACATATCCCCCTCTTTGCCCACATGTATTTAGTTTGGCAGGCATAGCCTTACAATTAAATATTATCTGGATTTTTGACAAGCTATCTCTTTCCTGAGCAGATTTTGTACAGCTCAGTGCTTCCCCAATAAATGCCAATCACAGATAACAAGCTCTCCTTTGTGACCCTAATTAGATGATTAGTTAGAACTCCAATCAGAGGCTTGGCTGCCACCTGAAACTGACAAGACCATAATCAGTTACACACTGAAGGCTTTTGGCTCTTAATTGGCTCTAGCCCATTTTTACCATTAAGAAACCAGTCTCAATAAAGAATATTTGTAGTTTAAGGTTGAAATGAAGGGTACCTTGGTGCTCTCTTGAGCTTGGTTGTTTTCTTGCAGACGTTTCATTACCCAAACTAGGTAACATCATCAATACTAGTGTTGCAGTGATGATGTAACCTAGTTTGGTTAGGTAATGAAATGTCTTCAAGAAAGCAAGTTCAATGAGCACCAAGGAACCCCCAGAAACCAGTCTTTCTGATGCTGGACAAAGTAGCTTCATATACAGATAGGTCTAAGTATTTTTTTTAACAATGTTTCACTGTATCTTTTGTCAAATTTGTCAAGAAAATTAAATGATTACTGCGTTCTCCCCACCCCATTCCAATTTCTCTCCCTTTCCAATTCGCCATGTCCTTTGCTTTTCAGATATCTGGTAAGCTTGTTCAGCACTGATTAGGAATATATTACAATATCATATTAAGTAGACAAAGCTTTATTCAGGCTATTGTAGATTGATTTCACCTGATCATAATTTATAAGTTTATTCGTATTTAGGTACATGCAAATATGTAAAGCAGAGCTACAGGTGGAGAGCTACATCTAGAATGACAGCAGGCAATGCAGGAATCAGAGCCAATTCAAAAATAGACAGACTGCACTCTTCTTTTTCAGAAAAAAATATGCTTGAAATCCCAATACGTGGAAATTCCAGCATTAATCATCAAGTCAGAATGCTTTTCAGATCTTCCACTTATTATACAGCATTGAAACTGAATTTGATATTTAATATTCATCCAAAATCAACCTGTAGCATGATACTGCTATCATTTATTTATATCAAGGACACGGCTGTTTTGGAAAAATTGTCATGTTTCATCCAGTTAAACACAGAGAACTCTCAGAAACCAGAAACCAAGATTTAGGGATTGAACGTGTCTTGGACAATGGGCGTGTTCCGCGAAAGTTCAACATAATAGGACATTTCTTTAAGAAATGTATCTTTTCTACCAAGCAGGCAAATTCTAAGAGATCAAGTCTTCTTGCTGCAATCATTAGTATTGTCACATCAACATACATATATGCGGGGTGGGAGGATCTTTGGTCTTACGTGTAGTGCCTTGGTCAACCAAAGGTTCGCTAAGTCCAGACTCATACTGAGCATATACGTTCACATCGTAAGATGTACTAGGCAATAAGTTGTGTAAAGTATATGAAGTCACTTCTCCAACAAACACCTCCATGGGCTCATCCGAACCTTAAAAGGAAAAAAATATATGAAAAAGAATGTTAATGTGCATTAACATAAAAAGCTGCTTTATAATGAGCCAGACAATCCTCCAACTGAGTATTCCTATGTTGCTGACAGCAATTCTCTGGGAATATTAAGTAGAAGCCTCTCTTGTAAAACTACAGCAAAGCCTGCTTTCATAACAATCATTGAAATTGTTGATAATATTCAACAATATTCAGTCTCAAAACCATGGTCGCATGTTGACAGCCCAGCATTTGTAATCTTACCTGCAACTTTATACACAATTTTGTATCCTAAGATAGGAGATGGGACAGGATCCCAGGCCACTCTGAATCGAGTATACCATTCATCAGATATACGAATATTCTGAGGAGAAAGCAGCCCAACTAAAAAAAAAAAAAAAAATTAAATGCATTAAGTTAGGAAAAAAGGCATTTGATAAACTCTAATGCCAAGTCTAATTTTTTTACTTCTTTCAAAATTGTGAAAGGCTAAAACTTCAATACTAAAATAAATAAAGTTAATCTATAATTTTGGATCCCAAATTAAAACCGAATACTACTGTATTTTACTGTGAAAATCAGCTTTTTAAAGAAAATTCCAGTGGTGCTCGTAGGGAATTTTGCTCTGAGAATACATGCAGTCATAACTTGGATGATGTAACTGAATGTAAATATGTTGTATGTTGTAAATAAGCAAGAAATTTAGCTACATGTGCTTCATTTAGAATTGAGTACCAGGTATAAAATTAATAAGTTAAATGCCAATGTTTCACTATAGGAAATTTGTATCATATATGGAATTTGTTCAAATATTTTTAATAAACATTTTCAGAGTTCACTTGGTATATAGTATGTTAAGATTTTTTTCAACTTGGGTTGACAAATGGCAAATTTTCCTCATAGCAACTAGGCTTTACAAAGCTACTTTAACTGGTTTGGAGGAGTAATTCTATATATATATATATTTTACAGACTTTAAAATCTCCTTCAGTGTCGGCAGAACTTTATTATGTAAAATCAAAAAGAACATTGAGATAACAATTATAGTAAATATACCTGTTTTTCCATTTCCTGTGACTTGTCCACCATCTCCATCATCATAAACTGCTACAACTGTAATTTTATAAGGTGTATCTGACTGCAAAGGCTGTAGCAATACAGTGTTTATTCTGCCAGGTACTGTTGTCTAAAACAAATGACAATCAGTGAAATGTTGTACAATTAATAGATTAGTAATTATTAATAATTTACCAAACATATAAGTTGTAGTACATAAATGGACTCTGACCAAACAAGAAGATAAAGGTTTATTTTGGTTCACCCATCACATTAACCACGTTGAGGAGTTATGCTTGTTAGCATTTGTACTGAATTGCATAGTTTAACAGTATAATGGTAAAAATCATCCAAAGATGGAACTAGATAAGCCTCAAACATAAAGATTAAAATTTAGTTCAATAATTCAAATTCATTTTATTTAGGTTGTTTACTGCCTTAATCACAGTTATACGATGTATATAATAAAATCAATAATAATGCAATGCAATGCAATGCAATAAAAGCATTAATATCCTTTTATTGCCCACAGATTGGCCATTAATGTTTTTACTTTTTTACACCATACCAGCATATATTTCTTCAAGTATAGTACTAAGACATAACAAAATATAGGTTCATTCAAAAATAAGCAATAACCATAACCAACTATGCCTGAGTATTTTCTTTTGTACAGAAGTCAACAGAACACATGCCTTTAACCTCCCTATGGGAAATAAGCTGGCTAAATTATATTCTTAAAGTTTTGCAGCTAAATTTGGAGTAGGAAGTTATAAACTATAAAAAAAATTGGAAGAATGCCCAAAACAAAAATTGAGAGCCAAAACTCATTCCTGCTGCTCATGTTTATAAAACACAGATATATGGTGGCCATGAGAAGTGAATGGCAATCAACTGAAATTATCCTTTCATTGAGGTGGATAGAATTAGCTTCTATAAATATATATCTTCTCATTCTTATTCACCTTTGTACAGATTACAGAAGTAATCCCTGCCTATACCTTCTACTCTTGAGCTAGAGTTATTTTTTTCCCCCCTTTTCATTCAATGTCTGGTTCTCAGAGAACGCCAGGACAAGTCCCTGTAGTTCAGTTGGCAAGTTTTTTTCAGAAGTAGTGTCAAGTGCAAGCCACCAGAACATCTCCAAGATTTAGGTGAAGATTACTTTATGGGTTAAAAGGCCCTCAAAGTAGGTTGCAGATGGACTTTTTAAACCCTGTTAAACCACGACTAATACCACCATTTATTTCCATTTGTTTAATCTAAACGTGATGGAGTCGAGCCTAATGGTTGCAATAGGGCAAGATTTATTTCTAATTGTTTTATTTCAGAGGATGAAATAGTTTTGCCCTTTCCAGTAAATAACTTGACATGCTAAGATCTGTATAATTAGCTTCACTGAGGAACATGAACACTGAAGACATTGTTATATGTATTTCTTCCAAGAAATTATTCTCTACGTGTAATTGAGTAGCCTTGTCTTGGATATACAGGACATGAACACCTTCCAATCTTGCGATGAGAAAACAGTATTTTTCATTTCATTTTTCATTCAACAACTTCCACACAAAATAAAAGCATTGAAATTAACAGTTAATGCAATTATTACTTTGCAGCAGCAAAGTAATAGAAAATCAACTATTATATATATTTAAAAAATATCAACTTACATATTCATCTATGGGGTCCCCAGAAACAGGACTATATATAATTCTATACTGCTGCACAGGTCCATCTGCATGATCCCACTGAACCGAAAGACTATTTGTGGTTGGATCAAATACTCTTATGTTCCTGGGTCCACTACGAGGCACTAAGACAAATAAACATTAAATATAAAATAAATTCAGTAATCTTCTCAGAGCAAATACTTTACAGGGGCATGGAAAAAAATGGGGGAAATTATGTGCTTTGAATCCAGAACAAATAATTGCATTCCAGGGATTGTGCAAAACTATTTTGGATCAGCCACAGTTTGGAAGAACTTAAACTTGGAACATTCTGGTTGTTCTGGATTTTGCATAAAAGAAAATCCATATGGGGTGCCTCTCCCCTCCTCCACTTAGCAGCTCCTGGCACTGCATCTCTCATTTGCCTGTCAATCCCCCAATTATTTATTCTCTTGCTTCTCAACCTCTTCTTAGCTTTCCTGGCTTTTTCCCTAGTTGAGGGGGAAAAACAGCTGTTTCATTCCATGCATGCAGCAGACACATACAATATGCATGTTTTTTTTGGCAGCAACCCATCTGAAACCAGAAGTTTTATACACAGAATATTTTGCATAACCTTAACATTAACAAATTGACTTTATGCGTCAATTAATTCCATTGGCTGATTCTAACTCAATAATTTTCAAGGCATGCTCCATTGAAAAATGCTTTGCTTTTGATGGCAACTAGGTCTTGAATCAGAGTAGTATGGATACTGAACAATTATGAGTACAGGCAGCTAAAATTACTCTTCTTAACTTCACTGATTTAATATGCTAGATAACAGCAGCTATTAAATAAGTAAATAAATCATAGAATTTTCCAAAGTGGTTAAATTAATAAAATTTATTTATATAGTTAAATCTGATGATCCCTTCTAAGTTTGAAATTGTGAACATTTTTGATTTGCTATATCCTTCTAGAAGCAAAGTTTTCTATGCAAGGCTTCTCTCATATGCATTCATTCAGTACCTCTAATAATTCATAAACTACATTCATGTTAAGACCCAGTGCAGAATATAAGTACCAAAAGATATTTAGAGATCTAGATACAAAGGAGTAATTCAACGCTAGTCAAACAGAATTTAGCAATAAAAGCATGATTTTCTACTTACATGTTCTTCCCTGTCCTGTACTTGGATCTCCATCTCCATCACCATACATAGCAATGACATTTATTGAATAAGGAGTATCAGGAGACAGACGTTCCAATAAAACATTGCGTGTATTACTTGGTACAATAACCTAGAAAGAAAGCGATATAATTGTCTGTAACTGATATTGAGCTGGTGAATATCAAATTGTGAAATGTCTAGAAATGTCAAAACGTTTGGCCTGACTTTTTTACTTCTGTCAATCTGCTGATATATTGAGGTTTTAAATTTTTACTATTAACTTTTTCCTATACCCTGTTTCTCCCTCCTCCCAATGCACTGAGTTATTTTTTTTATCTTTGACCATGAATCAATGAAGTAGGAGACTGAAAGTTCAGAAAAATATAATATTGGAAGTCACGAAGTAGGCTTCCATGATTGAAGGTGAGCCTAACTCAATGCTCTTATCCCTAGTCCAAACAATTAACTATTACGCTACACTGGTTCTAAGCACAGAAGTGTTTCTCCACCAACTGCACAAACTGATATAAGTTATGAAGCTGTCCCTAAGAATGTCTATGCTACAGATAATTCTCAAACTTACAACCATTCATTTAATGACCCTTTGAAGTTACAACAGCACTAAAAAAGTGACTTATAATTGTTTTTCACAGTTATGACCATTACAGTATACCCATGGTCACATGATCAACATTCGGATGTTTGGCAACTGGCATGTATTTATGGTGATTCCAGTGTACTAGGTCATGTGATCACCTTTTGTGAATCTCTAACAAGCGAAGTCAAAGAAGCCACATTTACTTAACAACTTTGTTACTAACTTAACAGTTGCAGTAGTTCACTTAACAATTGTGACAAGAAAGCAATAGAAACTTGCAATTGTGGTCATAAGTCAAGGACTACCTACGTATATGACATTCAGAATATTCAGCCATTTACAGTGGAATAGGATGCATTATTTCTTTTTTTATCAACCAGAGATTGCTTTGGAAATAACTGTATTAAATTACTTACAGATTCTGATGGCTTTGTGGCAGCTAATGGATTATAGACAACTTTGTATTGCTGCACTGGACCTGGTGCAGCATCCCACTGGACATTAAGACTATTAGTTGTTGGGTTGTAAACTTGGATGTTTCTTGGTGTCCCCCTCATCACTGAATCATATAAAACAAATTTGCATTTTTTAAGAAATCCCCCTATTTGTAGATTCCGAGCAAAGTATAATCACACGACACAATCATATCAATTGCACTTATGTTGTTTATGGAATAATGTTTATGTAAATAATGTCTATGTTATTTGCATAAAGATATTATGTAAGTAGATCAAATTTTGCAATAAGCATCATTTGCACAAGGATGTCATTCCCTAAATAATGTCACTTATGTCACCATGATGACTTACTCTTCAATTTACTGGACATTGGGGAATAATCAAAACTCTTCCCCACTTCAATCCCTACCAGTCTATTAAAAGTAGGTTCCATTGTAATAATTTTGGTATCACTGAAGAGGATCAGTTCTGGAAGAGAGAACCTGACAATACTCTCCCATATGTTTCTGCTTGTGCCAGCATACTCTAAAGCCAACACCTGCATCTGGATTTGTTTTAACTGTTTTATTAAATAAGCCTAAATCAACCTTGCAAACAAACAGATTATTTGTGACTATTTGACCATTTCAATTCTGGTCCCCTGTATTATTTCTACCATACCTAGATTTTTGAGCAGTGTATAAACAGATTTTTTAAAAATTAAGTAACCATAAATCATAGTTCTGAGCTCAGTCTTACAAAGAGTCCATCATTAAAACAACCTGGATTCATTAACTAACAAACCGGTTTTAAATGTGTTTTGCCATGGAGCTAAGCCAAAAATAAGCAAGCCACTTTCAGGTTTAGGATTATATAGGAAATGGGCTAATTATATAGGATTATATAGGAAACAGGCTAAACAAAACCTTACTAATTTAACTTACCTTACTAAGTCAATGATTTGTACTATAGCAGGATGAAGTACAGTAAGCTTAAGCCCTTTACAATCAGCAAGCTACCTAATTCTATCTTAATTGTGGCCCAAAGTCCCAACATTTGATGAAGGGGAGGGGGAAACCTCAATTTTACAGGTACTTTTTTCAAGAGGCAACTGGATTTTGGAGGGAGCGGGTTGAAGATGCTTCACTTCTCATCCAAGAAGTTTCTTCAGCTCTGACTGGATGGTGGGGAATGGAAGGATTTATACTCCCTGCACACAGCTGGTTATTTGCATTCTACTTAGCAAGTCGTTGTGGCCACTTGGAGGTTTATCTGTGTCAAGAGTCACCTGAGTAGTGCAAATGGGTGTGGAGCCTTTTTGGAACTGTTGAAAGGACTGGGTTGTAGACTGGAGATAGATGATGTTGTATCCTTCCCCCTCTACGCCAGTCTATGACACAGTCCTTTCAACAGTTCCAAGAAGGCTCCATACCCATTTGCACTACTCAAATGACCCTGACGACAAAAATAAACACCAGGTAGTCTCAATGACTCGCTAAAAGAATGCAGATGACCAGCTGTCTGCAAGGAGTGTGATCCTTCCCATTCCTCACCATCCAGTAAGAGCTGAAGAAGCTTCTTAGATGAGAAGCGAAACATCTTCAAAGAAAGAAACAAAGTCCAGTTGCCTCTTGAAAAAAAGGGGACAACCCAAAAGGGGACAACCATGACCTGGATGACAGAGAATCTCCATAGACACTCCTCAGTTCTACTTACGCGTTTTCCCTGTATCAGATACCCGGCCTCCATCACCTTCTGAGTAAACAGGAACAACGGTTACTTTGTATGGGGTGTCGGACTGGAGATTCTTTAGAACAGCATAGTTTGTATTCCCAGGCAAAGTTACCTGTCAAAGTTTAAAACAGGGCATGTAATTGGACATTTTATGATGTTCTCATACTACTTTTCCTCGTAATATAAAAGATGACCTTCGTGTTCATTAAAGTTCTCCTCTTATTTTATTGATGTATTTAGTTATTGTCTTTTAATGACTTCCATAATCCCTTGCACTTGGGGCAATTGAATGGAGCTGAGTGTTTACTGGCTGGATGCTCTTCCTGTTGCCAATGCAGTTTGCAGCAGATAATCACTTATTATGCCCAGAAAGGGAAATATCTGCTGCTACCTAGGATCAAACTCATAACCTCCTGATGATGAGGCGAAAGCACCACTTCTAGACCACTGTACCCCTCCTCCTCCTCCTCCTCCTATTATTATTATTATTATTATTATTATTATTATTATTATTATTATTATTATTATTATTATT